TATATTGTTTTATTCAAAGTATTGGAACTATTGAAGCTCCTAAGCATCAAAGGTTTTGTAAATGATAAGCTTTTTGACCTATAGTCTAAAAATTTTTATTTATCTTGTTTTGTAGTTGACATTTTGCATTATTTTTGGTTATCATTAAAGAAATTAAGTCCTGGAAATTCTTGGAACTTTTTGTTTGTAAGTCCTCAAATAGTTCAGAAAATAATAATGCAAATGTCCAGGAAAGTTAACAAAATTGTCCTGGAATATCCTGAATAGTCCTGGATTTTCAATTGATAAATAAATTAAAGTTTATTTATCTGGTGAAAATAAGTTGAAAAAATCAATTTATTCATAGCTACACTATTCATAGTGTAGCTTTGAGTAGTGTAGCTATTAATAAATTGATTTTTTAAACTATATCTAAAAATTAAAATTTTTAAAAATTGTTCAAATAAAAATAATTAGTTAACAAAACTTTACTAATTTATATGTTTAGGTGGGACCAGATGGTGAACCACACATCCGTGTTGGAAAATTAAACATGGTTGACTTGGCAGGTAGTGAGAGGCAAGACAAAACAGGAGCAGAGGTTTTTGAGTTTCTTAAATATTCTGCTATAATATAATCAGGAAAAAAAAAACATCAAGTTTGTATTCTATTAGGTTAAGTTAAGAAGTAAATGTTATAAAACAATTTAAACTTTTTGTTACCTGTAAATTCTTTTATTTTTCAGATATTTTGATTGTTTTCAATTTAAAATTAAAAAATAACTTAAAAGTAACTGTTTTACATGGACTTTACTATTCATAATATAGGGTGACAGGTTAAAAGAGGCAACAAAAATTAATCTTTCTTTATCAGCTCTTGGTAATGTTATATCTGCCTTGGTAGGAATTTTTTGTTTGTTTTTCATAATTTTTTTACTTTTCTTTTTTGCATTTGCAATTGTAAAATAAATTGATAAATTAAACCTATTATAATAGTTAAAAAAAAGATGCGCCACATTTTTCGCTTGTATGCCATTTGCTTGTACGCCACTTTGTGTTAAAATTTTTGCCACATTTTTGCTTGTTAAATCACTTTAGTAATAAGTTGCAGAAGAATATAGCGATTTCCTTTTAAAAACATTGTCACATTGTGTTAAATCATTGAAAGATACCTATTAGAGTACTTACATAATTCGTAGGAATTATTTTAAAATATTTCACATTACATTAAAAAATTTAATTGTTTCAGCCATCGTTAAAAGTTGAGCAAGGAATAACTTCATTCGGGATTTAGTTCTTTTTATTTAAAGTTATTCTTCATTATTTTTTTATTTCAGTTGACATGCATTTTGTTTTTAGGATAAGTCTGATTAAAAAATGACAAAATAATTAATTTTGATAAGAAATTTCAGAAAATTTTAATAAATTTCAGAAATAAAGAAGCATGGTCATTTCACTTTCTTTCATTCAACCAATAACCATTTATATAAAAGAACATAACCATTTCATCACGCCAATAATCATTTAAATAGAGTAACATACTATCTTAGCAATTTTTATTTCATAAATATGAAATAAAAAGTTAAAATGAAATGACTATTAAGATAAAAAGAAGATATTAACTGATAATTTCTTTAGGTTGATGGAAAAAGTGCTCATATTCCATACAGAGATTCTAAACTGACTAGATTGTTGCAAGGTATTTTTTTAAGGTTTTAAATCATTTACTTTCATATTGTTTTTGAGTGTTTTATAATTACTAAAGTTATTTTAAATTAAACAATTAGTTGTTTACTTAATGAACTTGTCAAGCCTAAAACAGACTAGCTGAAAATAGATGAATATACAAAACTTTATTTTAAAAAGTGTTTACTTTAAGTTAAATATGACTCTACTAGTTTATTTATAATAAACTATAAGAACCCAGATCTTAGCTGTTGTTGTTTTTTTCAAACCTGTTCTGCTTCTTTATTAGCAAAGGTGATTTTTATAGTTACATATGCAAAGGTGATATGATTTTTTTTTTTTAATTATAACACAATCCTGTCAATGTTTATTTTGTATTAGATTTTATCTCCTCTTTATTGACTTAAGTAAAATATGTATAAATATATAAAAATATATTTTTTATATTATATATATAAAATATAATATAAAAAATATAAATATAAAAAATATAAAAATATTTGTTTGTATAAAAGAAGAATATACTACTAATTGATTAATACAATTTTTGAAATTTTTATAATTAAATCTTTTTATGAACCTAAATATTTTCTGACTAGGCAAGATAATTTGTATTAAATATCAATACATCAAGATTTATTTTATCAAAGTAAAAACTGAAAAGAGAATAATAGTTTCATTGCAGTAGATTAATAGTAGCAGAGACAAGCAATTGATGTTTTGTTGCAGAGACAAATTATTAATACTTAATGATTTAATGACAAATGATTGATGTTTCATTGCAGAGACAAATGATGAAATTGCAAAAAAAAAGTTATGTTTTGTAAAAAGGAATTTTAAACGAAATGAAAAAAGTTTTATTAACTTATGCATTGTAAAGTAAGAAAAAATGCAAAAAATTATGTGCTAAATAGTTTGCGCTGTTTGTAATCATTTATAAAATATGTGGGAAGTCAGCTTCAGTTGAAAAAATTAAAAACAGAAGTAGTAAAATCTGATAATATTATGTAAAAAGGACTAAAAATTGCATTTTTTTTTTTGTTCCTAGAACTATTATGTTTTTAAAACAAGAAACAAAATTTTATTAAAACTTTTTAAAGTTTTTTTTTTTTTTTAATTTTTTTATATGATTTTATATGATTTTAGACTCTCTTGGAGGTAATGCAAGAACAGTAATGGTTGCTAATATGGTATTTTTGCTTTGCTTGTTTATTTTTAATACTTGTTATTTATCAATTTTAGAATACACAAGATACAAACATTTTTCACATAAACACTATCTCTTATATCTTATTTGCATCGCTCACCATCTTTCATTTACCACTTATAAATATATATATATATATATATATATATATATATATATATATTTAATTTTATTAAGAAACTTTGTATATATATATATATATATATATATATATATATTTAATTTTATTAAGAAACTTTGTATATATATATATATATATATATTTAATTTTATTAAGAAACTTTGTAAATTTCTTTTTTTCATTTTACTTTTGGATAAATGAAGTGGATTGGTAATTAAAAGAATGCTCAACTAAAAAAAGCAAGCACTTAATTAACAACCAATTAATTAAAAAAAAATTTTTTGTGTGATGATATTGAGTCTTTTAGAGGTTCTTGAGGTTGTGTTGAGTTGTTATTTGTGCCTTGCTTTTTGGTGCAATAAAATATGGTTTTTACATGTCATGATATGCATGTTTGACAAAGCCAAACCTTGCGTTTTGAATTTTCACACTGATACCATTTACTGTTTTGGGTTTTGAAAACTTTGCTTACAACTTTTTGGCACTTTTTATACTTGACTATACTAAACTTGGGGTCGCTGTTGTTGTTTGACCTGCTTGCTTTTTATCATCAAAGTTAGGCTTACATTGTTTCTTAGCTTGCTTTGCTGCTTTATAGCTTTAACTTTCAATCTTATGAGTATTTATTGAGACACTTCCCTTCGAATCTTCAAGACACCTCTCTTTGAATCTTGGTATATTTATATTTTTTTACTTTTTGTGTGAACATGTTGGATGCAAAACATTTGTTGCAAAGCTGCAACAATCAATTGGGCAAATTGCTTTTATTTTTTAACTTCGTTTTTAATTTTCTTTTGAATAACTTAGTTATTATAATATTGAAGATTGGTTGCAGACATGTTGTCTTTAAAGTTGACTTTAGAGTAAATGCTATACATGTAAGATTAACATCTTATGTTAACATGTAAGATTAACATCTTATGTTAATCTTACATGTTCATTAACAAGGTAATGGCTGAAATAGTGCAGTTAATGATGCTGGTTGTGGTGGTACTGGCATAGATTTTAGTGGTTGAAGATAAATGTTGAGATGCAGTGCTTTAAAAGTATCAGCAGTTTGTAATTTTGACTAATTTATTAGCAGTTTGTTATTTTGACTAATTGATTTTATTGATGTTGAGTGGAAACAAACCAGTATTTTAAAATCCATTGACTAATTGCGTTCGTGTAAAAACATTTTTTTTTTGCTTGGAGTTGACTAAAACATTTTTTTTGATACATGGCTATCCTTTATTTCTGCATAAAATTGGTAAAGTAATTTATATTAAATTCTTTTGGGAATAAACACTAACATCTAGTGGCTGTAGAATGTGTGAGAACTTTAACATTTGTTAAATAATCAATACAACTATACAAAATGTTTATCTTCTATTTATTTAGATAAAGATGTTGTATTTGTAGCACCATCTAGACCTCATAAGCATAAAAATTTGTACAGATGTTTTTTTGATTTAAAAATAATTAATGGACCAATACAATTACCAGTAGCGTTGATACAATTTCCAACTGTATTGTTGATATTTTCATTGTTTTTTAATTTTAATGGTCATTTAGTGCAGCGCATGAAAACTATGTGTTGCTTGCCTTGTTTACCATATAGACAATCTCATCAAATTTCAACAAATAACATGAAGTGTTTAATACCTACTTTGTTGAATTTGCTTTGCAATGTGTTAAAATACTTTGCTACTATTTTTTGCATGCAAGATGCAACTCTGAGTGATAAAAAATTGCTAACAGCTCTGATTCTCAGCTTATGAATCCACTGCTTGATGAAAAGCCTGACACTAATCTCTTTCTGGTGTAACACTGGTAAACCGATTGACCTTGGTGTTGCAAATAGCTGTTAACTCTTTGTTAAAAGCATAAGAATTATTTTTTGCGTCTTCATTTTTTGTGTCTGTCATTTTCTTAAAAAGTATGCTTGAATATCATGTGCATCAATGCCAACAAATGTATAAAAATGTTTTTTGAATTTGTGTGAACTAGGTAATAAAATTAAAAAATGATTTAAAAAAAAGTTTAACAAAAGTTAAAAAATTATTACATAATGATACCTTTATTTAGACTATAAATCATATACTTTGAGTATGAAATTATATTTTATATCTTTCTTTATCCTATTAAAAAAAACTATTAAAGTCCTTTTATAAAATATTTCAGTCTGTGTCCTGGGGATAGTTTTTGTTGAGGGCAAAATAAAAAATATGTATATTGTATTTTTGCACTAATTCTTATCAGGTAGGGTTATGATCAAGTAAAAATTAAAAATTTTATAAACCTCCTATGCATGACATAAAAAATTTTTTTAATAATTGTTCATGTAAAGCATAGAAGAAACTTTTTAAAAAATATATTTTCATTATAGGGACCAGCTAGTTATAACTATGAAGAGACTATAACAACATTGCGGTATGTTTTAAAATTCTAATAGTTTTTAATAAGAATTATTCAATATTGTTTTATTAAACTATTTGCTAATGCTTTATTTTCTAAATAAACAAATATTTAATAAACACTCTTTTGTAGATAACAAACTGTCTGGTTGTCCTGGCAGGCTACCAAGAGGCATTTTATTATAAATTTTTGTCGCCTTTAGGGAAAACAAGTTGCCCCGTGCCACATAATAACCTTGAAGGTACACTCCTGTGATGGTGTTGAAAAAGGAAGTGTGCTAGTTAACGTTTTCAGTATTTCGAGTGTAATATTTGTGTGTATCACTTGTTTTAAGAAAAAAATTATTAAACACAAAAGACAATGTAAAGCATCACAAGATCTTAAAATAAAGAGACAACATAAAGCATCACAAGATCTTAAAATTTTAGAATTTTTAATACAGAAAACCTATTTTAGATATTAGGTCCTAATGGAGAAAATATCATAGTTCTTATGGAAGAACATTGTAAACTATTGATATGATTTAATAGAAAGCCTTTTTAAACCCAAACAGTGCAACAATTGCTTAAATGGGAGGGGAACAAGGAATAGTAAATTGATATTAGATTATGTTGGGGAACATAGTCTCGTATTAATGACAACATACTATTTGCACATGAGAGTTTTTTATTTAATCAAATTAGTTGATTGTATCATGATTTTTTGTCAGGAAATACCCTGAGGTATTTTATATATTTGGAGGGTGAAAAATAATAAATTCAGTTTAATTAATATTTAGAGAAATGCAGTTACTATTTAACCAATGACACAAATGATGGAGATCTGAATTAACTTTTTTACAAAATTGCGCAAGTGATTTATTTATGTATAGAAGATTAGTGTCATCAGCTAGTATTGTCATTAGATTAGTGACATCAGCAGTGTTGTCGCGGTATTTGGTACTTCAGTACCAACACAGTTCTTTATTAAAGAGGTAGTTACGGTTAAAGTTGTTCAAAATACAGAGTTTATTGGTACTAACATTAGTACCGAGCATTTTAATAGTAAAATAGTGCTTTTTATAAAGTCCGTTCTTCATTCAGATATTATTCAGAATTACCATCAATAAGTAAAGAGTAATAGCGTAAAGTAACAATGTAATAGTGTATAAAATAAGAATGATTTGCGGTTTAGTTGATTGACTCAATTTTTCTTATTTTTAAACATAAAGAACTTGTACTAGTTTTAAATTTATGAATTATTTTTTTTTTAATTGTTTTTTTTCTTGAAACTGAATATAGTATCTAATTTATCTAAAGATAAGTTGATGATTCCAACTCACTAGCATTTAATCTCAGCAACTACCCTAGTCAAAAAGTGTTATAGGATTCTATAAGAATTTGGAACAAAAAAAATTTCAAATTTAAACCCCATTAAATAAAAACACATAAGTTAAAAGTGTTTATAGTTGTAAAAGTTTTGTCTTTTTTTTTTGTTCCAAAATCCTATATGTTTTATAGGCCATTTGGCTAGGGTAGCCCACAGACTTTTTTTTGAAAAGAATAATTCAATTTTAAAATTTTGACTCTAAAATTTGAACTAAATCTTTAAATGAAAAACCACTTGATATCTTTTTTGATGGCACCATAATCATCATTTAAAACCTAATTTAGAAATTTCTAGCGGTCTTTGATACGTAGATTAGTCATTTCCAAAAAAAATTTTTAATTTTTTTTTTTTTTTTTTTTTGTAAAATAACAAAAATTTGATTAAGCAATTTACATACAGCAAAATAATAAATTTTTAAAATTTTAAAAGAATTTTATATTTTAAAAAAATTATAGAGTTCATAAATCATATTATAATTTTTATTTCTGTTTTCCTTATAACTTTCTGAAGTATAAGAAAATATTTTTTGTTTGTTTTGATTTAAAATCAAAACAATAGAAATACTTAGAATTATTAAGAAAGTGGTAAATACGAGAATACATTAATTTTTCAAAAATTAATGAATTTTAAAATTTTAAAAAACAATTTAAAATTTCAAAAAAGATATGAGAATAATAGAGTAATATATTTGAGCTGAGACCGATAATTCGGTGAGTGTACCAAGTACACTTAGACAGCTATATCATTGTTCATCATAGTTACATTGTTTAAAGTCTATATGTTGAGTTTAGTTTTAAAAGAATTCACAGAAATAGCCTTAACAATGTAAGTAGGTAGTCGATTCCAGTAAAAAGATGTTCTGTTATTAAAAAATAATGTCGAGGCAAAAAACTAGTTATTTTGCAATTATATTTTATTTGATGACCTCTTGCTAATTGATAACTTTTTATAAATATTTATAAATTTTATAAATTTTTATAACAAAGTTTACTTTTTCAGTTCCATTGAATAACTTATACATTTGAATCAAATCACCCTGAATCCGTCTTACAACTAAAGTAGTGAAACCCATTTTATCTAATCTTTTCTCATGACATGATGTCTTTTCTCATGACATGATGTTTTTTTAGTGGTGATATTCTTATAGCACGATCCTGTAACTATTTTAAGAGATTAATTTCATTTTTAAGACATGGAGACCACACAGACACAGCGAATTTAATTAACGGTCTTACAAAAGTTTTGTATATAATTTTTAGTAATTCACTATTTAAACTTGAAAATATATTCCTCAACATACCCAAAACTTTATTTGCTTTACTTGCACATAGAGTTATTTGATTTTTCTATTTCAAGTCAGAGGTAACAAAAACACTTGATTCACAATCAACCCCTGATAATACTTTTGCATCATCAGCATACATTTTAGAAATATTAACAAAGTTCTTAGGCAAATCATTAATATAAATAATAAATAGTAAAGGCCCAATAACCGAGCTCTGCGATACACCACTAAGTATATCCTTCCAAGGTGAGACAATTTCTCCCATGACAACTCTTTGTCTTCTTTTTTTTTAAAAATGCTTCAATCCATTTCATCAATGTACCAGAAATCCCATAACATTTATGTTTTATCAGTTGTCTTTTATGGGGCTTGAACGAATGCCTTTGCAAAGTCTAAGTAAGTTACATCTACAGGTATATTTTGAGAATAATACAAGATTGCATTTTATGTCTCAATAAGGTTGGTTGAGCAAGATCTTTTTTTAACTAAGCCATGTTGATTTTTGGAAAGAAGATAATTTGCATTTAGAAAATTCATAATTAAATCTTGCACAACCTCTTTAAAATTTAACAAGGTACAAAAGTGAGTCAAACTGGACTATAGTTTAATAGCGACAATTTACTTCCTTTTTTAAATTGAGGACTAATATTGGCTGATTTCCACTGAACAGGTAGTTCACTAAGAACAATGGAAGCTGTAAATATACCTGCAAGCGGTAGAGCTATTCCATATGCAATTTTTTAAGATTAAAGGTTTAATAAGATTTGCTCCACATGACTTCTCTGTATTTGGTTATACCAAAATCCAAATTTATATTGATTCTAGACCCAAATGCTGGTAAATTAAAGTCATTCTCATGGACCAAAACATCTTGGAACTTGTTATTTAGTAAATTTATGATCTGATTTGGGTCATTTGTCACTATTCTATTTTCATTATATAAAGTTTTTATTGAGTTATTGATCTGTTGTTGGCTATTCACATATTTGTAAATTAACTTTGGATTTTTCTTAACCAATATCACTAGTTTTTTTCATAGTTTTGTCTAGCTTTTCCTAATTCGTTTTTTGACTATCTTGCAATTTTTTTTGTATTCATTCACAAGAGAAACTTTCTACCCTGAGAAACAGTTGCAAAATCTAAGGGTCTTTTTTAATTTTTTAAGATAATTTTTTAATCAAAATATTCACTTTTTTTATTATCTAATTTTTTAATTGGAATGTATAGTTTATATGCTGCATTTATGTAAAATATAAATATATTATACATTTCTTGAACTGCCACTAAAACACGCTAACCAAATCACATTGGAAAACAATCTATTTATTGAATCGGAATTTGCTTACAAATTGGAATCTCTTACAGTTACTTCCTCATTTATAAAACATTTCTGATTTAACAAAGTTTTGTAACTTAGAACTAAGTGCCCTCTTTCAATATTTCCTAGAACTAGATGTGATTCAATTTGGAATAATCTATTCTCTTGTGTTGTAAATAATACAGATCTATTCTCTTGTGTTGTAAATAATGCGGATCTATTTTCTTGTGTTGTAAATAATACGGATCTATTCTCTTGTGTTGTAAATAATACAGATCTAATACGGATTGTTAGTAAGGATATAAAAGGAAGAAAGTTGTTTGAAACAATGGTGTTCAAATACTCTGAGATTAAATTATCTGAGTTTGCTTTTATAAGATCTATATTAAAATCACCATTATAAAGTTGTTTTTTTTTTCAACAGAAAGTTTTTCTAATAGAATAGCTAGATATGAACCATTAAATTCATTAACACCCATGTTAGGATGGCAATAAACACCGCCTACTATGATATTAGACTTTTTAGAGAGAATGTTTTCAATAAACACAGACTCTAAGAATTGGGGTTTATACATAAGTAAATTGTTTCTAGATTTATAAACTAATTTATTAGAAATATAAAGTAGAGCACCTCCAAATGAAGTTTTTGTTGGAATATGTTCATAAACATATCCACTGAGATTTATTGGAGTTGTTGGGAGTAAATTAGATTTCAGCTTAGTTTCTGTTGTTCCAATTACTATACTAAATTCATAACTTATTAGAGATAAAAATAAAGTTAATTAATCAAGATATTTAACTAATGATGTGATGACTAAATGAAATAGAAAAAAACTTTATTATTGATGTTTGATGAGTTGAAATTTTCGATACCAATGTATTTACAATTGATTGGGTTCTCAACTATGTTCATATTATCATCGTCATTGTTATTTAGGTTATAAGTAAAGTAATTATTTAGTTGATTAAAAGTAGCAGATTCTCTGGAGCAAGGAAAGAGTGAAAGGTCATTTGGGAGTTGATTGAGATGTAATATATTGTCAATTAAACTTTGAAAAAGAAGTTCATTATCTGATATAGAACTAAAATAAAAAAACTGTTGCAGCATGTAACACCAAAAAGTTATGGAAGAGTTTTTTGATAAATTAAAATCATTATTATTCAAAGAATTACATTTTTTGTGGATTATACTTAAGCAGTAGTTGCATTGAAGTGAAAGAAAGAATTAACATGAATTTTTTTATCACACAATAGCCGATAAATATATGAGCATGAAGTTAAGGCTAGTCATAGAAGCTCCTAAAGATAACTATTTCATATGACATAAGTATATGTATATATATATATATATATATATATATATATATATATATATATATATATATATATATATATATATATATATATATATATATATATATATATATATATATATATATATATATATATAAAATAAGGGGGGAACAACAAACCACATTTTATTTTTTATATATTTTTAATATATTTTATATATTTTTATATATTTTTAATTGCTTATCATTTATTTGTAGATATGCAAATCGTGCAAAAAATATAAAAAATAAACCCAAAATTAATGAAGATCCAAAAGATGCATTGCTTCGTGAGTTTCAAGAAGAAATACAAAGGTAATTTACTAAACATCTTTTAAGAAACAATTTTCCGATATTTTTTTGACATTTTTAAGTTTATATAAACTAAAATGTTGACTTGACATTTTTTAATAGTTCAGTTTATGAAGAATCAAATAAATTATTTTTACCAGGTTGCGTTCTCAACTACAAAAAAAGGGCGGAAGTGGTATTAGTGGTGGAAACAACATGAAAATAAAGAAAAAAAGAAGAAAAATGAAACCAGATGGAACAGGTTATTTAATTTATTTTTAGTTATGAAAGCAGTGTAGTGATAAAGTTTGTAAATGAGAGTTATGGTGTTTAAATCCACCTTGACTGATAAAGTACTCTGCTTAACTTGTTTCTCTGCATAATGAATTTGTTTATCAAAGTTTTATAGTTATAGGGTTGACAGAGGGGTAATAAGTTAAGAAAAAAAAAATTTGTAGTCTACTTATCTTCATGCTTCCATACCTGCAAGGAGTGTTTAAAAGAAATACAATTTTAAGCAGAGAGATGAAGACATTAGGCCAAGGGTCATCATAAAGAAAATCATAAGACTTTAGTCTTATGATTTTCTTTATGATGAAAATCATAAGACTTTAGTCTTAAGATGGTCATAGTAAGAAGTGCAAAGATAAGGTGAATTTAATTTTGTTATTTTTGTTATTCAGATCCTCAAGGCCAGGAAGGCCACTATAAATGAGGAGGCTACTTAATAGTGTTTATAACCCTCTCTCAACTCTATAACTCTGAAACACGAACCTTGTCAAACAAGGCCACTGCGCAGAGAAGCAAGTTGAGCGCGGCACTACCAGGGATGTGGTGGGGATCGAACTCGAAGCCTCTCGCTTTTAAAGAGAGCGTTTTACCACTACACCACTACCGCATTTAGAGCAAAATTAACTTTTAGTGAGATCATAGCATGATCTAAATCACCAAATGAAGAGCATGGAAAAAGTGATATACATATATATACACATATATATACAGCACTCGAAATAATGGCCAATCAATGATTGGCTGTTTTTAGGGAAATTTCAAAAAATTCAAGGGAAAATAATTTTTTTTTGAAAAAGTTACATTTGATCGGCAAGCTTTGAAAAACTATTTTGAGCGCTGTATATATATATATATATATATATATATAAATATATATATATATATATATATATATATATATATATATATATTTATATATATATATATATATATATATATACATATATATATATATATATATATATATATATATATATATATATATATATATATATATATATATATATATATATATATATATATATATATATATATATATATATTATATATATATATATATATATATATATAAAGCAGAATAGGCCAAGGATTAGGTTAAACCGTTTTTCCTCCATGTATTGCTTAATTGAGCGTGCTGTATAGCAAGGAGTGTTATCTTGTTTAAATTATCAGGTGTAGTCAGCCTTGAAAAGATCCATTGATGGCTTTAAATAATCTTCTAATATCTCTCTATATCGATGTTGATTAAGGTGATCAGTGTTAAGATACGCCAGGCCATTTCTAGATCCTTCAATGCAGCCCCAAATGTCAATTGAACCTCCTACTCCTTGAACTCTTGACATGATTAAACAAGAGTTATATTTTTCGTTTTTGTATCTCCTCACAACAACTCTTTTCTTGTGATTGATAAGTTCAAAATTTGACTTTTCCAAGAAAATTTCTTTTCTCCATTGCTCTACAGTCCATACAGCTCTCTCTTTGCATCATTTTCTTCGCTTGAGACGGTCTTTGATACTTAGTTGTGGCTTCTTTGTTGCAAGATATGAATTGAGATGTTTTTTCTTTATCAGCTTGCTAATTGTTGATTGACTAACTTGATGTGCACCCATCGCTATATTCAGGTCTGAGGCAATTTTGGCTATGTCATGTTCAGGTTGGGTCTAGCGAGCATTCATCTCTTTCTGACATTTTTTTGGGACAACCAGACAACCAGACAACCAGACTTTTGTTTTCTACTGTAACAAATTCATTATAGTTTTTAGGCGTTGTTCTAATGCTGCATTCACTGATTTCAAGTTGATGTCTGATTTCTCGATTACTGAGACCACTTCTGTGCAGGTCAACTGGCCACTTTATTTCAATTGATATGCTCTTTAAACCCTTATTTTTGTTGGTGCAATTTTGAAGTTTTAACTAGCTGTATTTCAAATTATATTTCCGTCACTTCAATTTATGGTTCTTACATTTTTTTATTGACTATTATTAATCAGCAGAGAGTAATTAACAAAAGTTAGCCAAAAAGGTTTTTTCTAAAAGGAATTAAATGAGTATGCAAACTAGGGATGGCAAAAATCTCAGAAATTTTCAATCCCGGGATTTCGGGATTGAGAAATTTGTCCCCGGGACTTCCCGGGATTTAATAGAAAAAAATGCAATTGAATACTTTTTAAGTACTCATCAAGCACTTAAAAATGATTATTTTAATAATAGTATAACTAAAATATTTAATACATTAATTAACGTAAAAATAAGTTAAAAACATGTTTAAGCTTAATTTTGATTTATTAAAAGTTATCTATGACTTTTAAAAATTAATGAACCTAAGTGCTTTAAATTATAAAACAATACCTTAAAATGGTAACACAGTATAAATAAAAATAATAACTAAAAAATAAAATAAATATGCAAGACTTCATTAATTAAACGGACGATAAGAAAATTTTTTAATTTTATAAACCTTCTATTTTTTGATAACTTTATTAATTAAATTGACGTTAAAAAAACTTTTGTCAATCACTCACATATTTGAAATTAAAATTAATGGAAATAAAAATGGAATATGAATCACGCACACATTTGGAATTAAAATGAATGGAAATAATAATGAAATTAAAATCCTGCACACTTTTGGAAGCAGAAAATTCAAAATAAAATTAAATTAAATTAATAAAATCTATTAAAAACTTTTGTTCTTTCCATTAGCAAGCTCTTAAATTTTATTTGTTTTTTGTATTATACTAGTTTTAATATTATACTATATATATATATATATATATATATATATATATATATATATATATATATATATATATATATATATATATATATATATATATATATATATATATATATATATATAGTATATATATATATATATATATATATATATATATATATATATATATATATATATATATATATATATATATATATATATATATATATATATATATATATATATATATATATATATATATATATATATATATATATATATATATATATATATATGTATATATATATATAGTAAAATATAATATTATATTTTATTTTATATGTTTGATCGTACATATTTGCAGGCAAGCCAAAATGTTTTGAGTTTTTATTTTTAATAAAATAGAGAGAGAGTTTTAAAAGGAAAACATTGCAAATAAAATAAATAGTTACACAAACAAACAGCTACTATACCAAAGACGATGTACAAATTACTTAACTGCAATTATAAGCTTAAATTTTATTAAATTTTACTTATTTTGACGATCCCGAAATCCCGGGAAATTTCGGAGACTAATCCCGGGATTTCGGGATGAACAATTTGTACAAAATCCCGGGATTTTGGCATCCCAAGGTTGCCATCCCTTATGCTAACACATTTTAAATAAGTGCGCTAATACTTTTACACGCTTAATTTCAGACATTTTTCCGAGTAGTCATTAAACTTTTAATTAACTCTTTAAAAAAACAAGCAAGTTGACAAATATTTGACATTATAATTAAATTTAATTGGTTTTAATCATTTTTCATTTTTTTAATCGTTTTTTTATTTAAAAAAAAAAAAAACTAGTTCAAAATTAAATTTACTTTACAATTTATATTGATTTAAAATTGTCTATAGTAAAAAATTTACGAGTGTGCTAATACTTTCTGGAAGCACTGTATGTATATATATATATATATATATATATATATATATATATATATTATATATATATATATATATATATATATATATATTTATGTTTATATATATTTATATATATATATATGTGTGTGTGTGTGGGGGTGTGTGTGTATGTGTGTATATATGTTATATAAAATAGTTTTATTTTATAGAAGAAGAAATTGAAGCAGAAGAAGATGTAGAAGGTACAGCAGAAAATATTCTTAAAGAACAGCAAGCTAAGCTTGATCTAGAAAAGCAGATGCTGCTTCAAAATAGTAGCATTGTTGAAGAGGTTTGTTTTTTAAGCTTGTGTCCTAGCTTGTTATGCAACAGCATATCATCACTATACAAATACACAATCCTTTTTAATTAATTACAAATGCATTATGTTTTTTAAGAAACTAAAAAGTACTTTTTGATAAATTACAAATACAATATTTTAAAATAATTTTTGTTTATTTTGTCATTTTATTTGCTTATATTTTTATTGTTTATTTTTAATGATATTACTATAATGTATATATGTATACTATAATGTTTTCCATTATCATATCTTTGTTTATAATAATAACTTGTCATTGTGTCTTTTCTTTGTTGCTTGTATAATCGGCTAAGTGAAAAGATTAGTATTAAATGTTATCTAATTATTAATATTTTAAGTTTGAATTCATTAAATAATTTATTTTTTATCTTCTTTTAGGAAAAAGCAAAGTTGATTGCAGAAATAGATAAGCGTTCAAGTGAACTCAATAAAGAACAACAAAAGGCTCAAGCTATTGAAGCAAAAATAAAGGTAATTTTTTAAGGGACTTGTCTGATTTTTAAAAGGTTTTGTGCAACCTCTTCAAATATTTTTCATTCCAATATTTTTTTTAATCCAGTATTATTTTATTATATAGATTACAGTTAGTTTAATTGTTATTATTTGAGCTAGCCTAATTTATTTATATATATATATATATATATATATATATATATATATATAATATATATATATATATATATATATATATATATATATATATATATATATATATATATATATGTATATAAGGTGGACACGGAAAATCAACTTTGAATTGAAATTTCTCTAATACCACAAATACTTTTTATTTCTTTTATTTTTTTTAGTTAAACGTTACTTTCTTATCTTTAATTGTGTTGATAAACTTTTGTTTACAAATCAATGATTTGCAAAATGTTTCAGAAACAAATAGAGATTTTTTTTGCAAAAATCCATCGACTTTATATCTCTTGATTGCTAAACATATAAATGTCCCAAAATAAATGTACAAAATGTCCAAAAACTTATTTATGATATCATAGATATTATAAATAAGTTCAAGACTACTCAAAGCTTCAAAAGAAAATCTGGAAGTGGAAGAAAAAAAAACTTCCTTTAATACAAAATGAAAAATTTGATTCTCAGTTCAATAGCAAGAAATCCAAACCAGTCAAAGCGAGATCTAGCAAGAAAATTTAAGTCATTTTTATATTAAAAAAGCATTTTAAAATGCTGGAATTAAAGCATTTTATAAGAAAAATACATTTAAGAGAAGCCTAAATGGTAAAATTAAAAGAATTTGAAGCACAAAGAATAATGGTGGATAATTGAAGACAACGAAGTATATTGAAAGACGGATTTTTCACTTCCTGGTAAATAATTTTACTATGAGAACAAAGATAAACCTGTCGATGATCAATTTAAATATATACGATGAGAAAAATTTGCATCCAAGTTTCTTGTGTGGCAAGCAATTTGTAGCTGTGGTATGCAGTCCTCTTATTTTGTCATTAAGAAGACCTTGACTACCAATCTCAACATCAAAGAATGCCTCTAAAAATTTTTTTTTTTCAGTCAGATCTTGCTGCTTCTCACTATTATAAAAAATTTCTACAGTGGTGCAAAGATAACAATGTGAAAATTGTTCCTAAAGATGCGAATCTTCCAAATCGTCCTGAAGAGCGCAAGATTGAAGATTTTTGCGTTCTTTGTAAAACAGATGGAGTAACAAAAAATAAAAAGGACCTCCAAAAAATATGAAATAATGTCACCAATAAGGTGAAAGAAAAAAAGTTCTGCAAAATAATGGCATTAACCTGTTATAAAATTCGATCTCTTGCCAAACACCCCATCAATCCCCTTAAAATTAAGTTGAAACCCTAATTGATGTAAACACGTTTAATAAAAAAAAATTGAAATAAAAAAAATTTATGGTTTTAGAGAAATTTCAATTTAAAGTTGACCGGATTTTTCTGTGTCCACCCGATATGTAATTTAGTATAATGTAAACAACTGCAAATCACAACAGTCTAAAGGAATTTAGCAGTGATCAATTACTTTAAATAAAAGAAATTGTGAAATAAGACGTAAAATACTTTCATAACTTATTTAAATCTAATTCAATATTTTCTTATAAATCAAATAATCAAATGTCATATATATATATATATATATATATATATATATATATATATATATATATATATATATATATATATATATATATATATATAAATTACAAATTAGTAGAAAATCACCTAGCAAAATTTTTTTCTCATTTAACACTGTGTTTCATCAATAAAGACTCATCAGAAATCTATTGATGAAACACAGTGTTAAATAAGAAAAAATTTTGCTAGGTGATTTTCTACTAATTTGTAATTGCTCTGTTCTTTTAAGAACATTGAGCACTTTTTTTTGTAGAATACATTTTAAATTGTTTAAATATATATATATATATATATATATATATATATATATATATATATATATATATATATATATGTATATATGTATATATATATATATATATATATATATATATATATATATATATATATATATATATATATTTATATACATATATATATATATATATATATATATATATATATATATATATATATATATATATATATATATATATATATATATATATATATATGTATATATATATATATATATATATATATATATATAAATAATAGTAATTTCTTTTTTTGAACATAATAACTTATTAACAAATGTCTTGATCTTTTTTTATTTATTTTGAAATTGAAATATGTGCTTTTTCAATACTCAGATATTTTATAAAAATTATAAAATGCAACAAACTGATTTTTTTTTCTACAGGCAATGGAAAGCAAACTGCTTATTGGAGGCAAGAGCATTATTGACAAAACTACAGAACAGGAAAAGGCATTAGAATTAAGAAGAAAAGAAATTTTAGAACAAAAGGTTTTTTTTGTTTTTTGTTTTTATGTTTTTTTTTTAAATTTAATCCATTTTTATTTTATGTTTACTTGTAACTTTTACTTAGGTTTTCTATCATTTCTAATTTTTTTTATTGGGAAATTTAAGAAAGTTATTATATATTTTTACATAGAAACGTGAAAGAGAGATTGCACAAAGGCTTGAGCAACAAGAAGAAAATGCAATGGAAATAAAAGAAAACTTTACTTCCTTACAGCAAGAAGTCGATGTTAAAACAAAAAAATTAAAAAAAGTATTTAATAATTTTTTGGTTGTTAATTATTTTTATAAATACTCACACCTTTTTAATCTTTTTCTAAATATTTTTATTTATTTAAATCTTTTTTGTTTTAATATTGCTTTATTTGTATAGACAATTAAAAAAATTTATTTTTAACAGCTCTTTGCCAAACTGCAAACTACAAAGCAAGAAATTTCAGATGCGCAAGAAGATCACATAAAAGAGAGACAAGTATTGGCAACTACACTTGAAGAGCTGAATAGAGCTATTAAGCTGAAGTATTTTTTCAATGCATATTTGTATTTTACACATTCTTTTCCAATTTCTCTCATTATAAATATTTTTTTTAGAACGTTGATTATTGAAAACTTTATACCCCTTGATGATAGAGAAAAAGTGAAAAAAAGGGCTTACTTTGATGCAGATTCAGAAAATTGGATTATGAAGCCATTAACCAATCATGAAAAGTTAGTAAAATTTACACTAAATATAATACATGTATATATACATGTATATATATATATATATATATATATATATATATATATATATATATATATATATATATATATATATATATATATATATATATATATATATATATATTAGGGTAGCCCAAAAGTTTCAAATCGTTTTGCTGCACAAGGCTGCATGTTACATTTGATTTTATAAGTATCCTCAAAAAATTTTGTGTAAATCGGACAATATTTAGAGGTCCTTACCAAAATGCACTTTTTTAAGGAAACCGTAAAAATAGAAACAAGTCTATCATTTTTTAGCATTATCGATTTTTATCACAAATAACATTTACTGAATCACCATATATCATAATTATTTTTAAATAATGTAATCATATGTGTCTAATACTGTTGTTTATAAAAAAAAAATTTTGTAATCAAGCCTACAATAACCACTGACTGGTACTAATGTCCAGTATCTACCAGTATTTATTGACATTCATCACAGCTTCCTTAGTTGGAGCAGGAAACTGCTTTCAATGGCTGCAAACAAGTTGCAATAAATATTGTTTTTGAGTCTCATTTTTTGTCAGTACACAGTTGTAGCTTTGGATGAGGGCAATGCCTCACTCTGTCGGGTCATTAACAATCTTGAGAAGGGTAACTTTTGCACTCATGCCCTGGAATATTGCATTATTGGACCATAGTGTAGGTGGGTTTAACAAGAATGATTTAGCCTCTTCTTTTCCATTTTTAATAGCAAATCAAAGAATAACATTGACCTGCTTGTAACATATTCTGAAAAAGTAGTTTAACAGCATTCTTGTCTGGTGCATGCAAAAAGTTTATCACTATTGCTGTCTTGATTTCATCTTTGACTAACTCGTCAAACAGAGCAAGTGTACTAGATTTTCTGAAAAGTACCATAAGTGTCGCTTTAAAGCAGCAGATGCTTTATCACTGACACAGCACTCGGGATAATCATCATGCAGCTTTAGCAGATTAAAATCATTCAATGGTGCTTTATTAGCAAGTGGTACTTCTTGCCAGAATCAGGCATAAATGAGCAAAATAATCAGAGGAACCTTCATCAAATCTTAGAACTCATGTACTGTTAGTTGTATCTGTAGTCTTATAAAATGAGATCATCTCTTGCTGTAAACCATTAAGCATTTTAATAAAGTCATCATTGGCAGCGACTTTAAAGATTTGTTGATAATAGTCCAATTCATTTTAAAATCTTTGAAGACATTAATAGTTTGTCTGCTAGTGGTCACCACTGTAGCTGAGAATACATCCAACAACATGACCTCAAATATATGGTGACAACAATCAACCCATACGAGTTTGCATTTCAAAGCTTTCTCAATTAATGTACATGCACCAAGATGAATTCCAGTGTTAGAATTAGTTGTATCAAACACAAGTCCTTGAACTTGTGAACGTAACTGCCAGTCATCCAGGGCCCCAAGACAAGCATTATACTGTTCTTCTCCTGTGCCTCTGCCAGTTTTTAGCACTGCCAGAAAATGTTCCAAGTGTCCACCTGTGACTAAAATAGCAACCTCTGTCTACAACCTCTAATCTCAACAACACATGAACAGACACCTGGTTTCATTTCATGTGTTGTTGAAATTGAAGGAGCATCAAACTTGTTATTATTTTAATCATTGCTTTATTTTCTGCTAGATGATATTGATGTCAACTGGCACAATAGTAGCTGCAATTACTTATTGCACTCTAATATCAGATTTTTTTCGAGAAACTGATTGCAAAAGCTTGCTATTTTTATGAGCCCCTTTATCTGGAAGAGACTTGCCTACACCAGCTATACTTGCACTAGATGGATCATCTTGCATCATCTAAAGGAACTGTTTATCCTTATCAAAGGTCATCTTTGCTAGTGCATTTTTAGTTGAAATGTCAAACAAATCATCGAGATTATTTAGAAACAATTGTTCCTTTATTCTACAACTGATTTTCTGTGGTTAACAATTCTTTTTTAAGTCACAATAGTGATTGAACAGCTTACGTAGCTTGTGCACACAGCAATCAATCATTCCTTTGTACCCAAGGAATGCCGGACTTACTTCTAATCACCAGTGCGGCATCAATGGTTGATTTAGCGCTCTCTGAAACTGTCATTTCAAGTTCTTGATAATGAAACAGAAAGTTTCTCAAAATAGATCCATTACTAGGCAGTCCAGATCTGATAATTTTCTTGTCTAACATTCCAACAAGCCATACATTAACAGCACTGCTAGTCCTTGTTGTAGTAGTTATGTTCAAATTCTGAAAGTAGAAACACAATGTATGGTTTACTGATAACATAAATAACAACATAACATAAATAGTATGTCATAGTAAATGAGTGATAATTATTAGGCTGATTTATTTATCCTGCAAAATATGATCAAAGTAGGACTAAATTTGCTTCATTAGTCCCAAAAATTTTCAGTGAGAGTCTAATGGTGTAGTGGAACACAGGTACCCTTGTGGAACCTCAACTTTTCAAAATTTTTTTACCAAATGTGGTGGGACATGATTACTCGGGTATACGCTTTCATATTCATCATTAGAAAAACGTTGCTTTTTGTTAAGTTTTGAAAGGAAAGACTTTATTTTAGCAGCATAACTTAGAGTGGGATCAATACTAATAATTTTTGTTGGACCAATCTGTTCTCTAATTTTTTTAATTCCTTTATCATGTTCTATTCTTACGAATCCTATTCCTTTATCAAATGGATAAATATCAATTTTCTTGTCTTGAATAATTTCTTTAAATGCTTTTCTTAGATCTCTCCTTAGATTATGATTAATTTTTTTGCCCATTTTAAGTTCTCTCAGTACATTTTTCCTTAGGTTTTGCACTTTTTCAATTTCTTTATTATATTTCAGTTTTAAGGCAGACGATTCAGTTGTTGTAATAATGTCCATGTAAGGTATAGATCTCAAGGAAGGTACAAAGTGTAGACCAAGATTCAGAAGATCAATTTGATTTTCAGGTATTTTGGTATCTCAAAGATTAAAAAACACGTTTTTAGTGTATTTCGTTAATTTCTTATTACTTTTGTTGTAATTGAATTCACTTTGAAGTATTTTGAACTTTTTAATTAATCATTCTTTAGATTTTATAAACATATTTTCAGGAGCTTTTTCAGTGATAAACATCATTTGATTATAGTCTTTGTCTTCAATCTTATTTTTAAGATCTCTCTCGAGGTTTTTAGTAATATTAATAAGATTAAAATATCTTCTTTTAGAATCATTTTTTATACAAACTAAAAGTTCAAATCTAAAACGAAAAATAATACTTCTTGCTTTCCTTGAATTTACAGGACAATTGATTCGTAAAGATTTCAGAATTAACTTATGTTTCTCGCATTTTTGTAAAAATATAAATTGATTTTTAGATTTAGCTATCGACTTCTTCAAATCTTGTAATTCTTTGGTTATTGTATAAATTCCAGCTCTGTATTTAGCTGTTATGAATGATTTAAATGTTGACATCTTGTACGAGAGTAAATATATATATAAACTAATAGTTTGTATGGGCTAATCAAAACTCATAAACAAGAAAAATCTTATCCGATGAGAGTAGTTGTATCAACTATTCGCACATCTTGTTATGGAATTTCGAATTACTTAGTTAAAAGAATACAACCGGTCTTAAATGAAAATCCTATTAGGTTAAAAAATTCAAAAGACGTTATTAACAAGACTAACTTGTGGTTAATTGACAAAGATGAAATACAGGTATCCTTTGATATTGTAAACTTATACCCATCAATACCATTAAAAGAAGCAACTTTAATACTTTTGGATCAATTAATTAAAAGCGTTTCTTACAAAGACTCAACTAAACTTACTTTAACTGAAACAAAACAACTAATTGAACTTTGTTTGTTTTGTTGTTATTTCTTGTGGAATGGTGAGATTCATGAGTTGGAGAATTCAGGCCCAATTGGATTGTCTTTTATGGTTGTTTTGGCTGAATCTTTTTTACAATACCATGAGGAAAAAGCAATAAAAATGGCAACGACAATGATTCCTTTAATTGATACTAAATCCTTTCATAGATATGTAGGCGATAGCCATGCAAGGTTTTCTAACTTAAATCAAGCGGAACAGTTCCAAACAATTCTTAACAGACAACATCCTTCTTTAAAATATACTATTGAGGTTGAAAACAAAAATAAGATACTTAACTTTTTGGATATAACTGTTATTAATAATACACAAGGAAAATATGAGTTCAAGGTTTACAGGAAGGATGCAATAATTAATATCCAAATCAAACCTCATTCTAATCATGGTCCTAAAATTTTAAAAGCAATATTCAAAGGATACATACACAGAGCATACTCAATATGCAGCGAAAACCATTTAAAAGATGAGATAAAGTGTTTATTGAAAATGGATACGATGAAAAAATGCTTAAAGATATTTCTAATCAAGTTCAAAAAAACGTTTTGCAAACAAAAATGAAATTCCATCAAACTCTAATAACCTTCCTACAATCTCTTTACCATGGATACCAATAATATCTCCCAGACTTAGAAGAATATTCAGAAAAGTTGGTTACAGAACTGTTTTTAAATCAAATGCTAACCTAAAAACGCTGTTAATGTCTAAAAATAAGTCTAAATTACCACGCAACAGCACCCCAGGAACCTATTTAATTAATAAATGCTCCAAAGTATATGTTGGTGAAACAAAACTTCAAATACGTACAAGGGTTCAACAACACCAAAAATTTTTGACTGAAGGCAAGTTAAACCAGTCTGCATTAGTTTTGCATAAAGTAAATTGTAATGAGGAAATTGAATGGAACAAAGTAATAAAACTTAAAGTTGAAGATAAAAAATTTGAAAGAAAAGTCTGTGAGGACTTAGAGATACAAAAACATCAATGTTCTCCAACGTACGGTGGTATGAATTTGGACAATGGACAATATTTAAAAACAAATTTTTGGAAATCATTTTTTTCATACTTAGGTAAAAGAAGCCATTATAAAGGTGACGTCAAAGTTTAAAAAATTTTTTGTTGTTATTTAACGGTCACAATTTTTGTAATTATATTATATTATATGCTGATGATGCCGGTGCCTATAATCGAGCGAAAATTTCAAATAAACTATTTAGTATTGAATAAATTCGTATTATCTGATGTTTTAAATTAGTTTATATATGTATATATATATATATATATATATATATATATATATATATATATATATATATATATATATATATATATATATATATATATATATATATATATATATATATATATATATACACACACACTCAGCAAAATTTCCATAGTTCCACTTACAATTTGTAGATATAAATAAATTCACAATGTATTTGCATTTTTTTTGTTTGTTTGTTTATTACAGGAATTATTTGGAACAAATAAGCTAATAATATTTTAATAGAAAATAATTAATAATTTTTTTTATAAAACTTAAAAGTTAGAAATATTTTGTAATAAGAAACTATTTATTTTTTAAATAAATAGTTTCTATAGTTCCATCAAAGGTTATCCTTTATAATTTTTGTTCTAGATAATAATTTTTTAATTAGTTTAATTTTTAATAATTTGTTCTACCACCTTTTACACTAATTAATTCGAAGATTCGATTTTTCATACTTTTTATAAGACATTCTAAACAAACCTTTGAAATACCGTTCCATGCTTGTTGGATAGATGTTTTAAGTTCTGGTATTGTATTATACTGTCGAGAATTTCCATATATAGTTTGTGCCAATATTCCCCATAAATTTTCAATAGGTTTCAAGTCAGGTGAACATGATGGTTAATCCAAATTATTTATATTTTTTTCCTGGAACCACTTTTTTACGAGCCGTGTGAATCGCCATATTATCTTGTTGGAAAATCCAGTTCTCAGTAGATAGACCTTTACTAAACTTTATTAAAACATCTTCTAAAAGATCTAAGTAATTTCTTGCATTCATTTTTGTTGTAATAAAATATATTGCAATTTTGCTGTGGAAAAAAAATGCAGCTCACACCATAACTGTCCCTCCTCCAAAGTTAGGACTCATAGCTATGCTATCTTTTTTTTTCAAATCATGCCAATAATACTCAAAACCATCAGGCCTATCTAAGTTAAACTTTTTTTCTTCGGAAAAAATAACATTTTCCTATTCTGCATTCTATGTCATGTGGTCCTTTGCAAATTTAAATCCTGCACATTTATGTTTTTTTGTCAATGGTGGTTTTTTGATCATTCTTTTCCATTAGAATCGTCCTGATTTTAACCAAATTTGTTGGACAGGTTTTTTAGTCACAGGTAATTCAAGTTCAGTCCTTATTTGTCTTACTGTTCATAGTCCAGATGACGCCAAACGCAAAATGGAAGAATGTTGCCTTTTGTTTGTTTTTTTATTTCCGCTCTTAAAGTGATTTTTGTTGTAATTTTTACCTAAGTTTATAAAATTGTTTGGACAAACAATTTTTGTAAGCAACAATTTTTGCTTTTTCTTCCTCATTTAACACTGGTTCTTCCTCATTTTCTGCGTAGTATTGTAATTATTAAATTACAAATCTTAATTAAAATACACAAAACTTCTATATAAAACAAACAAATTTAAAAATCTTACTCATATTCAATTAACACTTGTTAAGTGTTTAATACAAACTAATGGAACTATGGAAATTTCGCCTGTATATATATATAATTTTAAAAACATTCTAGAAAATTTAGTTTCAATTGTTTTAGAAACACATAAATTTGTCATAAACACATTTGTTTGCAATAGGTCTAATAAAGAAAATATTTGTGGTTAATTTTATAAATGTATTCCGCATAAAATCTGCAATAATTACCTGGGACTATAGATATTTTGCTGAATATATATATATATATATATATATAGTCTTGCAGAAGTGTTCTCCTGAGCTGTCGTCTATCTTTTCAAAACTATTCAACAAGTGCTTATCAGAGTCTTGTTTTCCAGCCTGCTGGAAAGCAGCATCTGTTATCCCTATTTTAAAAAATTCTGGAGAGCGATCTAACTCATCTAACTACCGTCCCATTAGTCTTCTTCCTATCATAAGCAAGGTTTTTGAATCTTTAATTAACAAACACTTAATCTCTCATCTCGAATCTCATAACCTACTTTCTGATCATCAGTATGGATTTCGATCTTCTCGTTTTACGGCTGATTTGCTATCAGTATTAACCGATAGGTTTTATCGCGCATTAGATAAAGGTGGAGAGGTTAAGGCCATTGCTCTTGACATTTCTAAAGCGTTTGATAAAGTTTGGCATGCTGGTCTCCTCCATAAGTTTTCTTCTTATGGTGTATCTGGAAACATCTTTAAGATTATTGAATCCTTCCTTTCCAATCGTAGTATAAAAGTTGTCCTTGATGGACAGCACTCTTCTTCTTATTCTGTAACCTCAGGGGTTCCCCAAGGTTCAATCCTTGGCCCTATACTCTTTTTAATTTACATTAACGATCTTCCAGATATTCTCACATCTAAGGTGGCATTGTTCGCTGATGATACTACCATTTATTCTTGTCATGATAAGAAGCCAACTCCCTCTGATTGCTTGCAGGGGGCATCTGAGCTCGAAAAGGATCTCACTTCTGCTACAGCATGGGGCTTGCAGTGGCTGGTGAACTTTAATTCAGATAAAACTCAATTTTTTTTGGCCAATCGTTATCGCAATAATTTAGACCTTCCTATATTTACGAACGGTAATGTACTCCTACCCTTCATCTTCTAAGATTAACTCTTACTTCTGATCTTTCTTGGAAACCTTATATCGAATCCGTTGCAAAATTAGCATCTGCTAAAGTTGCTTCTCTTTATCGAGTTCGTCACTTTCTTACTCTGGATTCTATTCTCTATCTCTATAAATCTCAAATCCGGCCTTTTATGGAATACTGTTGCCATATCTGGGGCAGATCTTCTAATGATGCCCTTTCTCTTTTTTTTTTTCTACCAAAATTCATTCTCGTGTTACTCGTCATTCAATTAAGTCTCATCCTTTTTCTGTTACTGTTCCTAAGTGCTCCAAAAACTCTTATTCATCTAGTTTTTTTCCTTGAACATCAGTTCTTTGGAATTCGCTTCCTTCGTCTTACTTTCCTGATTCATATAATTTGCAATATTTTAAGTCATCTGTCAATCGTTATCTTGCTCTACAATCTTCATCTTTTCTCTTCCAGTAACTTCCAACACTAATTAGTGGTTGCTTGCAACCTTGTTGGAAGCGAAGATAATTAAAAAATATATATATATATTTAATTTTTTTTTTTTTTTTGCATTTATTAGATAATTTAATAAATAAAAAGTATTTTGATTAAAATACTTTGAAAAAAATAATAAAAATCCTTAAGTGGACAAAACTACATAAATTAATGAAATTGTTGACAGATTTGTCAAAGTTTTAAATCTTTGGTTTCAATAGATGAAGAAAAGTCTTTGGAGATAGGATAAAACAGTGTGTAATTGTGCAACATGAAAAATCTAATTAGTGAGTAGCATAAAATTGACTTTGACAAATTGGATAAGTCATTAAGTAGAATGCCTAGAATATGTAAAGCGATAATTGTCACTAAGGTTGATTAAATAGACAAGTAAATTGAAAACTAATCTGATGGGACTTTCTATTAATTTTTATGTACACTTTTTAATTGGACAATAACATACAATTCATGTAGATTTTGTTTTCTCACAATAGAAAATCTTTGATATTTTGTATTGAAAAATATGACCATTCAAATTATTATGAACAGCAGTGTGTATTAATATATATATATATATATATATATATATATATATATATATATATATATATATATATATATATATATATATATATATATATATATATATATATATATATATATATATATATATATATATATATATATATATATATATATATATATATATATATAATTTAGAGTTTTTGTTTAAGTGTTCAGCAAATGGCTAAGCGTCCTGTTTCAGCAGTAGGAAATAAGCGTCCAATATCAGAGTATGCACGTAAAGCAGCAGTATTTGGTGGTAACCCTCGGTATAAGGTAAATTTTAACAATAAAATACTTTTAATTTTTTTAAATTAAAAGTATTTTATTTCATTTAATTATTCCTATCTACCATTCATAGTTTTTTAACTATAATACAATCTTGTGATTCAGTAAAGTTGAATCTTTTTACTTTAAAATCAAATAAAAGATTATTATCTAAGCTTAAAAAATTTATCCTACTCGAAGTTAATTACACTAAGGTAGGTGGTTTCTCCTACTTGAACTTAAGTAAACTAAAGTAGGTGGTTTCTCTTACTCAAACTTAAGTACACTAAGGTAGGTGGTTTTGTGTTAAAGTTTTTTTACTCTAAGTCTTATGTCTGTTTATTTATAGCTATACTATTGATTTGGCTAAAAAGTAATGTGCATTTTTTCAAAAACATTTTTTTTAGTTACATAACTTTTCATAATGAAATTCTTCAACAATATGTGCACCATCATTTTCTATGACCTTGTTGGTGCAAAGCAGTTGGTGTAAAACACTTCTGGTTTTAAATCAAAGAAATGTTTGAAGTGCTGTTGAAGCATCCTCACATTATCAAATCTTTTATTATGCAAGCCGTTACTTAGCGATTATACAATCACTAAGTTGTAGTTTAAAAATATGTTGGCACTTAGTTGGGATAGTAGAATGAATGTGGCAACGCTTCCTAGCCAAGCTCCAATAATTTTTGCTGCTGTAACTAAACAATGTGAGGGCAGATGTTGTCATGGAAGAAGTAAACTTGTACCCTCGGCATTTCTTTAAGAGTTCTGATTGAAGCTTGTTAAGTTGAGCAAAATAGGATGTTAGTGTTATTGTGGTGTTTGACAGAATTGTTCCCAATAAACAATGTTGCATACATGGAAACCAAAACTGAAAACAATATCTTTTTTGGGCTGTTTTTTGACTTTTAGAGTTGGCTTTGATGGTCTGGCCCTAGCCACTGGTAAATGTACAGTGCAAAAAAATTGCTAAAAAAAAAAAAAACAGTCAAAAAATAAAATATTATTTTTTTTTCAAACAAAGATATGCAGAGAGATTTTTTTTCCTAAAATCCTTGTGATTTTAGGAGAAAAAATTTTAGGAATCTTTGTTTGAAATACTTTTTAATACCACTATAACATTAATGACAATATGGTCAAATTCGCAAAATTGTTTATGCAAAGTTATTTAGATGTGACTAAAATGAAAAACGCAAAAGTTATTTTCAAAATTTTAAAAACCAATAATGGCATAATAAACTGCAATGGTTTTTCAAAGCCAAAATAAAATTAAAAAAAGATAATTGCAATGCAAATGTTTTTAATTAGATTAGACTAACTGATTTAATTTTTATATGAAAAATCAGTTTCTTATTAAAATTCTTATTATGAAAAAATTAACTGGTAATATTCTGTCATAAATCTTTTTCTTAGTCAATGCTGTCATCCTAATAAAGCTATTATATAAAATTTAGTTTATAATATTAAACTTTTTTAAAAATAGATTTTAAAAAGTAAAACATTCTTTTTGAGTTTTATTACTTCTTTTTTTATTTTATTTTGATAAAACTTATATATAATATAAAATTCTTACACACTGAATTATTGCATAATAATTTTTATATTATGTAATAAATTTTATATTTTATATATTAATTATAAGAAATTCTATAAATTTGTCTCAATTAAATGTTTTGCTTGTCACAATTGAATGTTTTGCTAAAATAATTGTAATTAGAAAAAATTTGTAATTGTAAAAAAAGTTTAAATTGTTGTAATAATTTATAAATTTCCTGCATTTTATTACAAGTAAGAAAATAAAAAGTATTTTCAGATTGCTTCTTTCAAAAAAAAATCCAGTGAAATCAATATAAATCAATTAAATTTTTTTATTATCTTTGCAGTGACAATATAAACAATTTATTCAAAACTTATAATAAGATTAATATTGCCCAGACTAAATAAAATTCTAGAAACAAAAAAAAAACTTTTTAATGTTCTCACACCAACGCTCCACACCACCTGCTAGTTCAGCTTTACCTTAATGATTATGGTTATGATACAATGATAAAAACTGTAATTGTTAACACTAAATTTTATTTTTGACAACGTGTTGAAACATCTTTTTTTACAGAGTTCATAAAAAAAAGAACTTGTACTGTTCAAATCAAAGTATTTGAAATTGCTTATAATTATTTTGTCATTGTTGTTGTTGTTGTTGTTGTTGTTGTCATTGTTGTTGTTATGATCTCTCGATTATGTTGTTGTTGAATGGTTAGTTCAAATCAGTCCACTAAATCATCTCAGCTTTATGAATTTTGTAAATAACTGATTTTTATAAAATACTTTACTGGTCGAAAAAGTTGAAGTGCGTAACTAAATGTAACATCTTCTTTATGTTTTTGTAAACCAAATTGTCTATTGAACCAAAAATTAAAATATTAATGAACGCCTGTTGTTTGTTGCTAAATAGATATTTTTTCATTACATTTTTTTACAAACATAAATATATTTAAAATATTTTTTTAGATGGAAAATATTATTCAAATGGAATTAGACATGCCTAGTCGGACTACTCGAGATTATGAAGGCCCTTCTGTTGCTCCTCGCATACAAGCAGCGCTCGATGCTGCTCTACAAAATGAAGATGATCTCACGCTAGATGCATCGTAAGATTTTTTAAATGTGCAGGCACACACATAGATTTATGTGTGTATATATATATATATATATATATATATATATATATATATATATATATATATAAATATATATATATATATATATATATATATATATATATATATATATATATATATATATATATATTCTTGTTGCTAGGAACTTCTTCTTGGAACTCTTTTGTTTAAAAAGCTTAAAGCTTAAACTCTGAAACTATTTGTGTACATCTTGTATGATTAAACTCTGAAACTATTTGTGTACATCTTGTATGATTAAACTCTGAAACTATTTGTGTACATCTTGTATGATTAAACTCTGAAACTATTTGTGTACATCTTGTATGATTAAACTCTGAAACTATTTGTGTACATCTTGTATGATTAAACTCTGAAACTATTTGTGTACATCTTGTATGATTAAACTCTGAAACTATTTGTGTACATCTTGTATGATTAAACTCTGAAACTATTTGTGTACATCTTGTATGATTAAACTCTAAAACTATTTGTGTACATCTTGTATGATTAAACTCTGAAACTATTTGTGTACATCTTGTATGATTAAACTCTGAAACTATTTGTGTACATCTTGTATGATTAAACTCTGAAACTATTTGTGTACATCTTGTATGATTAAACTCTGAAACTATTTGTGTACATCTTGTATGATTAAACTCTGAAACTATTTGTGTACATCTTGTATGATTAAACTCTGAAACTATTTGTGTACATCTTGTATGATTAAACTCTGAAACTATTTGTGTACATCTTGTATGATTAAACTCTGAAACTATTTGTGTACATCTTGTATGATTAAACTCTGAAACTATTTGTGTACATCTTGTATGATTAAACTCTGAAACTATTTGTGTACATCTTGTATGATTAAACTCTGAAACTATTTGTGTACATCTTGTATGATTAAACTCTGAAACTATTTGTGTACATCTTGTATGATTAAACTCTGAAACTATTTGTGTACATCTTGTATGATTAAACTCTGAAACTATTTGTGTACATCTTGTATGATTAAACTCTGAAACTATTTGTGTACATCTTGTATGATTAAACTCTGAAACTATTTGTGTACATCTTGTATGATTAAACTCTGAAACTATTTGTGTACATCTTGTATGATTAAACTCTGAAACTATTTGTGTACATCTTGTATGATTAAACTCTGAAACTATTTGTGTACATCTTGTATGATTAAACTCTGAAACTATTTGTGTACATCTTGTATGATTAAACTCTGAAACTATTTGTGTACATCTTGTATGATTAAACTCTGAAACTATTTGTGTACATCTTGTATGATTAAACTCTGAAACTATTTGTGTACATCTTGTATGATTAAACTCTGAAACTATTTGTGTACATCTTGTATGATTAATAAAGTAGTTGAGGATCACTACTTATTTATGTTTTTAATATTTTATTTTATTATTATTTAAAATTACAAGGAGTAACAATTGAGACACAATTGCATATAACATTGATCATTGATCACGCGGCTGTTCTATCATTCACATGATTCAAGTGACAAAAGAGTTTCAACAGTTCCTCTCATTAAAAATAAAGCTAAAAGTTATATTCTTCATTATCAATTATTTAGTTCTGAGTAGAATGATTTTTTGGATTGGTTATTTATTTATTTTTTTTACATTTTTTTTTGGTACTGTTCTTTAAAAAACTGTTTAATATAAATTATTATTATTTAATTGTTGTTTGCAGTTCATCAAACACATTTAATACTAAAATAAAAATCAAAGGGAAAAGAGGAGAGAGACCAAAAACCGCAAAGCTTGTTGGGTAAATCTTTTTGTGTCATTAATTTTTTTGCTTGATTATTTTACTTATTTCCAATTCTTAATGATTAATAGTTTATTTCTAATAATGAAAAATGCATAATTAAATTAATTACATAAGTTAATTAATATGCATTTGCAATATTTTTATTAAGTCGATTAATAGTTTTTTATTTTTGAAGTTTATATTTGTCGTGATAAAATTACCATTGTTTAGACCGGGGAGAGTATATACGACCAATGAAAACAATGAGTATCCTACAGCTAGAGGCCTTGTTAAGAATTAGTTACTTTTATGCATCATTGATTTAAAATAGACAGTTTCAACATGAAAAAAAATATATATAAATTTACGTTGTGTCATGTGTCTTCTTCATTTCCTTTTTTGGAAGAGATTGGAAGAGAGTTTTGAAAAAGAAATTAAGTTACGTTAATAAAAAAAAGATTTTAAAAAGAAGTCATTATAAAGTTATCTTAGAATATGAATATTAAATAGTTTATACGCAATTTTTTATGTATATATAATTTGTATAATAATTAATGCTAATATATTTATAATTTTTGTTAATTAAATTATTGTGTGTAAATAAATTTATAAATTACAGAAAAGTTTTTAGTTACAGAATTTTTTTTAATTATTTTTTATTTTTTGTCACATTTTTTCAGCATTAAAAACTATCAACTGCTTAATTAATTTTTCAAATTGTTAATAAAACCTAATTAAAAGTTTTATCTTTAAATATAAGGAAAATTTATCGTTTAGTGTATTTACAAATTTTTATAATTTGATACTCAAAGATAAATGTGTCGTTTGTTGATTGATTTGCTGCTCTTGATCAAAGTTAAATTTTTCTTTCAATCTCTCGAGTATTTTTTAACTGTTAGCATCTTTCAATCTCTCGAGTATTTTTTAACTGTTAGCATCCTTAAATCTCTCGAGTATTTTTTAACTGTTAGCATCTTTCAATCTCTCGATTGAAAGATGCTAACAGTTAAAAAATGCTAACAAACTTCCTTTTCAAAAAAACGTATTTTCAATCTTGGCATATTTATTTTTTTTACGTGTAGACTGAAAAACTGATGGCGTTTCAATTGTATTAGCAATTTGTAATTTTAACTCAATTTTTTTGATATTTGATAGAAACTAGTATTTTGAAATCCTGTTACTACTTGCGTGCGTGTAACAACTATACCAGAGCTGAAAGAGGGTTCTTGAATTTGGCTGAAACATATATGTATATATTTTTTTTCCCGATATTTTACAATTAAAGTTTGTAGTATAAAAATTTTTATACATTTAAAAATAAACAAGTTGCGGAAACTCGTAGAAGGCCAGTAAGTCTTATCATAAAAAACCGCTGTGTAGCGTTCATGTTCTTATTATATTAAATTTTTGATAATGGTGTTAAAAACAAAAATTAAAATAATATTTGATAAAAAAAATCAAAGTGCTCGAAATGGACTCTCGAACCCCTTTATTGCGAGACTTGATTACTCCAGATTTTATAATTTAATTTATTTTTTGATTACTTAATCACTTTATTGGAGATATCATTACTGCAGTACTCTTTTTTTTTCCACTCTTTTACAGGTTTTTTTGCTGATAAAAAATAAACTTCATTATTAGTACCCTGAGAGGAGTCTCATTCTGTCAAACTGTGGAATACCTTCGGCCCTGAATTTTAAGTCTAAAGTCTAAAACCTAGTCTCTCACACAACCTGCACTTTATTTTTTATATTATACAAAATAATATATATTTTATACATAAAAAAATTGACCACATAATTTTTCTTCAATACTTTAAGTTAAATGCATTTCGGAACAGGAGGAGTATTATTCCGAATGAAAAAAATAATAATAATAATAAAGCTGAGAAATCACCAGCGTTGTTAAGGATGCGTATGGGTTTTGTAGATTAAAACGGTCGAACAATGCTTATAAAAAAAATTATTTAATTTACACACCCTGAGAAGTCAACACTTAATCAAATAATTTCACGCTGCAATTTTTATTAGACATTTAAGCTAAAAAAAGTGATAACACGTGTTTTTCAATATTTTGTAAAAATTAATCAGATCAAACTTTTTAAACTATTTTATTATATATTTAGGCGAAGCCTCTTTTAAAGTAACTTTTAAACAAAAAAGATTCGATTAAATAATTCCATTCCGTGGCAAGTTGGTATGAGCCCCCCTCCCCAAAACCTGTTATTAGAGCTCAAAATATTTAAATTTTTTACAATACGTATTACAATAAAAACAACCTAAAACTTTGAAATGAGCCCCCATAAATGGAGGGTGTGGGGTAGCCTATCCACGGCTTTGAATAGCGCAATCTTTTATAGAAACACAGCTCACTCAATTTACACAATCTTTTATTTTTGTCAAGCAACCATTTATAATAAAGGTAATTTCCGATAAAATATTTAAAAATATTAAATATTATAGTAGTTGCGAGACCGGAGAACCTGAAGAAGATAAACTCTTATCATCAGTAATTTTTGGTAATAAAAATTGGAAATAAAAGTGTTTGTTAGAAAAATCATCTAAAGATTGGCAATAAGTTCGATTATGTTCTTTTTAAATTTTTGAGAGGTATTGGCTTCTTTAAGTTTACAACTCAAACTTGTAAAATGGTTCCATAGTATTGGGGCACGATATGAAATGGCAAAGCTCGTAAGTTTTGATGTACGGAAAGGTTTTTTAAATCTTTCGGTAGATCGACAATTTATGTTTCAACAACGCCAATAGTTTTCAAAAATATTTTCCCTAAAACATTAAACCGATACAATGGTTTAAGGTGGGAGACCACTATTAAAAATCAAAAAAATTGTTTTTTCAGTTTTAAAGTTTTTAAGTAATATAATTATTGTAGATTAGAAATTTCGAATTAGTTTTATATAAAATTAAAGCTAACCCTATTAAAAACCAATTTTTAATAATGCGGTTTAAGGTATTTTGAAAATTTTCCATAGCAACGGGTTGTTTATTCCGTTGCTATGTAGCTAAAAAGCAAGTTATCTTTCAAAATACCATAAAAATTCATAAAAAAACTACATGTGTGGCAACTGCTACTCTAAAACTACTTTTTGTTTAATAATAAATGTTTTTGGTGCTGTATGTTACATGGTTGTTAACGGATTTCTTCACTATATGTGTAATTGCTTAACAACGACCACATCGATCTTTGGCTTATTCTCTGTGTTCTTACCTTGGATCATACCTTGGTTAACTAATTATTAAAATAATGGGAAATAAAGATAAAACAAATAAAATAAGGTATAGCAAAAAACGTAGATTCTTCAGAGGAAACCAACATAAAACATCAAACATTGTAGCTGAAAAAAATCTATCTAATTTACAAGAATTACAATTCAAATGTAGCTCAGCAAAAAAAATGAACATAATGTCATCCTGTTCTAGTAGTAAATCTTCTGTAGGTATTGTAGTTAATAATTTTGTAAATAAAAATAATTTTTCTGCTGATGGTGATCAGCAGAAAAAACACAAACATTTTAGAAAAAATTATAACTACCATTGGCTGCAAAAATTATAATGATTGTACAGTAGTTTATGAGGACATTTCAGGGGACGGAGCTTGGCAAAAGAGAGGATACTCGTCACTAAATGGATTTATTACTATAATAAGCAAAACAAATGGAAAATGTTAAAATTATCGCATACTTTCTAAGAAGTGCAAATCTTGTGAGTATTGGAATGCACACCAAGATTCAACAAAATATATGGCGTTTAAAGACAATCATGATTGCTCAATTAATCGCAAAGGATCGGCTGGATTAATGGTATTATTAGAGTTTTTAAAAAATTTTATTAAAAGAGTTAAAAATATGGGAAAAAAATGTAACAAAAAAACAAAAAACAGGCAAAAGCAGTTACGGAGTATTCGTAAAGGATTTTTTGGGCAAAGATGAGGAAGAAGAGAGTTTATGTTATGGTGCAGGAGAATTTTAATATATTTACTTTTTGTTTATTTATTACAAACAGATATTTACATTAAGTTGGTAAGAGTAAAAATTGAAACTAAATTGCAAATAAAAAGAATTTTTTTTTTTTCAAATTGAAATATTACTTGGTACTGTTTTATAATTTTTTTAATTTAATTTAACAAATTTTTTTTCCAGAAAAATATGAACAAGGTAAATTTACATTGAATATATTACTGGTAGGACTTCCAGAAGATCACATGATCTTACCATGAAGCCCTTTACAATCTATATAACAAATTAAAAGGTAGAAAATTTACAAATATTAAAAATTACATAAGCGTTAGAGTATTCTTCAGATGTTAAGCAAGTTTTAACATAATATTTTATAATATGGATATATAACATTCTCAATATTGAACAATATTATAATATAAAGTATTCAGCATATATTGTTTAAATAATCTTCATCACACAGTCGACAAAAATATCAAACAACTTAAAATACTAAAAATAAATAAATATATTTTATGTTGAAAAGATTATTTCTTTTGTTTTCTTTTTAAAGGAGGAATAAGACCATTTAAAAAAAAAATCAAAATTAGGTAAAACTATTTTATTCCAAAGAAATGGACTACGATAAGAAATACAAAACTGGTCAATTTTCGTTTTGCAAAACGGCTCTTGAATATTTTTACTATCACGAAGTTCATATTTGTTTTTTGGTTTCAAATTATAGAGATTTATAAATACACTTGGAGATAAATTTTCTTTACATTTAAACATAAAATATTAAAAATATTTAGTTCGTATATATTTAAAGCTTTCATTTCTATAAGAAGTGGTGTTGAGCTTGAAAAACGATTTCCAAAATTAATTATGCGAGCTGCGTGTTTCTGATGCCGATAGAGAGATTTAAGTTTGGTTTTTTTTAGCAACTTTCATTGAAATACTATCAATTTGCTGACTCCAAGATAAGTTTTCATCTATTATGACTCCTAAAAATTTTGTAAATTTTTCTCTTTTTATGATTGTATTGTCAATGAATAGGTCAGGTAAGATATTTCGGATTCTCTTTTTTTTAGAGGTTGGGTGAAAAAGTATAAACTTTGTTTTATCCGTATTCAAGGACAATTTATTTTTTCTAAACCAATATGATATTCTTTTTAATTCATTATTCATATTATTAAAAAGTATTTCTATGTTTTCGTGCGACTGAAATAAATTCGTATCATCTGCAAAATTTACGGTCGTTAGGGTAGAAGCTTTGTAAAGATTATTTATGTATAATAGAAATAATAGTAGTCCAAGTATGGACCCTTGGGGGACACCGCATGTTATATTTTTTATTATTTGCGATGAAGATTCTTTGTTATAAACAAATTATTTGCGGTTACTTAGATAGCTTTTGAACCAATTTAGGGTTTTATCTTTTATACCATAGCTCTCTAGCTTTTTTATTAAAATATGATGATTAACAGTATCAAAAGCTTTTGACAAGTCAATGAATATGCCTAGTGTGAATTGAGAATTCCTTAATGAATCGGCAATACTGCGTGTTACTTGAAGAATAGCGTGTTCAGTAGAACTGTTTCTCTGAAAACCAAATTGACTTTTATAAAGGAGTTTATTATCAATAAGATAAGTGTAAATTCTATTATACATTATTCTTTCTAATATTTTTGAAAAGACCGGTAGAACTAAGATAGGACGATAGTTTGTTATGTTGGTATGGCCACCTGTTTTAAAGATTGGAGTTACTTTGGCTATTTTCAAACTATTTGGAAACGATCCTTGAGTAATAGATGCTTTGAAGACTTTGAAGAGGATATCTTTAATGTCATTAAAAGAGTCGATTACAATATTTCCATTTATATCATCAGGCCCTATTGTTTTATTCCTTTTTAATGATTTAAATGCAATTTCGAATTCATTATAAGTTAGATTTGAAAAATTTATAGTTGAATTTGGTGATGATATAAATTCATCAACAGAGTTGTTGTCTAGATAAGGAATCTTGTTTGATAGGTTATGTCCTATTGACGAAAAGAAGTTATTGAATTCGGCTGCGATTTTATTTGAATCGGTAATTAACTTATTTTCAAATTTTATAGCATTCGGCATCGTATTTGTGTTTGTCTTATGTTTGCTAGTAATTTCTTTCATTATTTGCCACACTCGCCTTGAATTATGCTTGTGTTTTATAAGCAAGTCAGAGTAGTAAATTTGTTTGGCTTTTTTTCGGAGTTTTTCAAATAGATTTTTGTAAACTGTGTAGTTATTTTTATGTTTGTTGGATTTATTTTTAAGATATTTAATATAGAGTTTTTGTTTTATTTCTGATGATTTTTTTATTCCTTTAGTTATCCAATGACAAGATATGTCTTTGGCGTTAAGAACTATTTCTCGAATAGGAAAATTTGCTTCATATATTTTGTAAAATATATTAAAAAAAGATTTGTAGATGATATTTATATCTTCATTAAAGTTTATATAGCTCCAGACTTGGTGTAAAAGTTGCTCTTTAAATAAATTTAAGTTATTGTTGCTATAAGTTCGTTTTTTTAATGTTATTTTACCATTCGTATTTGTTTTGTGGTCAGCGCCTAAGCAGAAAAAAATTGGAAAGTGATCCGAAACATCAGTTTTTATAATACCTTTTTTGAGTGTAATATTGAAATAGTCATTGGTAAGAACGTTGTCAATTAAGGAGGATGAAGACTTGGTAATTTTAGTAGGTTTATTTATAATGGGTATTGTTCCCGTTTCAAATAAATGATTAGAAAACTTTGTTATATTTTTTTTTTCATTATACTGGAAGCAGTCAAGGTTGAAATCCCCCAGTATATAATTTTTTTTCTTTTCTTGGCTAGTTTTTTCTATTATATTATGAACAAGGTTTTCTTTTATGTAAAAAAGAACTCTTCCTCCACGCTTATTAACATTACGCTCTAAGAAGACTGTATTAAAACTTGTAAGATGGAGACTAGAGTTTGATTTAAAATCTTCCTCTGTACACCAAGTTTCAGTTAAGCAAATAACGTTAAAAAAATTTCCGTTTGACAAATCATATTTAAAAAGTTATCAAAAAATTTTTTTAAACTTCTGATATTAATGTGGATTATATTAAAATAATCACGATTATCATTATTTTTAAATATGCTTTTAATTTTATCTGGATAAAAGTAAGAGCATTCGAATTTTGATCCATTAATCTCATTAAAATAATTAATATCTGGATCAGATTCATTGTCTAAATTAAAAGTATTTGTTTGAAATAAATTTGATATTTTTTCAAAATCATTCCGATAACTTGAATCCATTTTGTATGTTTTTGTTATTTTGAAAATATTTGAAGGTTTTTATATACACTGGTATATATGTACGCACACATGTGAACATATTATATATATATATATATATATATATATATATATATATATATATATATATATATATATATATATATATATATATATATATATATATATATATATATATATACATATATATATATATATATATATATATATATATATATATATATATATATACATATATATATATATATATATATATATATATATATATATATATATATATATATATATATATATATATATATATATATATATATACATATATATATATATATATATATATATATATATATATATATATATATATATATATATATATATATATATATATATAAAACCCTTTTTTTTTGTTTTTGTTTTTTTGATAATCAGATAGTCTTTTCGAAAGACTTGGTGATTAATTTATTATAAACAACTTCGGCAAAATTACCTGATGAACGTATTTCTTTGGCTTTAATGAATAGTTGTTTGCGAATGTTGATTGTTCTCTTACTAAAATCCTCATTGATATACATCTTTTCGTTCCATAATTTCAGCTTTTTGTAGTTATTTAGTATAGTTTCACGATCTTTATAATCTAGAAATTTAACTATTATAGTTCTTCTTCTTATTATTTTACCGTCGTTGTCTTCTTTCTTCCCGGTTATGTATGTATTTCTTTGTTTATATTTAGTTTTTCTTTTATTAGCTTTTTCAATTTCTCCTCACTGTTTTTCCACGTTTCTCCTTCAGTTTCCTCGATTTCTTCAAACCGAAGGTTGTTACGACGACTTCTGTCCTCTAACTCTGCCATCTTGTCTTTAAGATATTCGTTTTCAAGATTTGTTGCTTTTTGTTTAAAATTGTCTTGAGGGAATATTTTATTTTTATTATTGTTTAATGTTTCTTTCATTGTTTCGTATTTGTCGCTTAGGAATTGAATAGTGGAATTAATTTGCTCTAATTCTTTTTTGGTGGCACATTTTAAGTGGTGTTTTTCTTCCTTTATTATTGAAAAGTCGTTTTCTAGCTTTTGAAAGCGTTCGTTAAATATTTTAAGTAAAGTGTTTTCGTGCATATCCAATAATTCTTTTACTTGGGATGGTGTAAAATTTTTAGCCATTTTTTTTTAAAATATAATATAAATGATTGCTTTGATAATAATCGATATGAAAAAATAATAGTAATCTGATAACTTGCTCAATTTAGCCGCCCCTCTTTTCTCGCCGTAAAAGTACTAAAAAAAATTTTTTCAAAAAATTTTATTTTAATTTTGCTTTAGTTTTACTCCACAACACTTTTATAATAAGATAATATTTGTTTGTAGACTTTTTTTTTGTGTTTTTTATTTGAAGAATTTTATGGTTTTTTTTTGTTTAAATGTGTTTTTCTCAGTTCTTTAAAATTTACGACTCTGCGGTAAATATCTCTTTATTCTCTTTTGTTCCTATTGTTATCACAGATGTCCCCTACCTCTTTTATTGCATTATGATAATTAGATAAAAAGATATTTAAGTCCTAATATGGTCAAAAATGCCTCTTTTTTTGTTTTTGAAGTGTTTTTCTTATTTAAAAAAAACTGGTCAATGTTTTTTTTTTGTTTTGGTACAAGATCTTCTTTAATATATTTTAAGCATGTCTGAAAAATTTCAAGTTGATACCATGAATAGTTTTTGAGATATTTACCGCAACGAAATGACCCTATTTTGGGGTTTCCGGGACCAAATTTCTCAAACCGGTTAATTAAAAAAAAAAGATTTGTGATAAAAATGTGAATTTTAATTAACTTATAAAAAAATAATTTGTAAAATATAATTTTTGAAGGATTTTATTTTAATAGTGGTCTACCACCTTAATGTTTTAGGGAAAATATTTTTGAAAACTATTGTCGTTTTTTTTTGACTGATGTTGAAGCATAAATTGTGCAATTTTGAAAATATTTAGTTCATAAATATCAAGTCCCCTCGTGCTTTTTAGAAGAGGTTTAGCATTTGTGAAGCGATTTTTAAAACGAATAATGCGTGCTGCACGATTCTGATGTTTAAGGAGGCATTCGAGTTTAGATTTATTTGTACTACCCCAAACAATATTGCCATAAGATAAATAACTATTTATGAATGCAAAATATAGCTCAGTTAGTGTAGATTTGTCTGGTTTTATATAAAATGCCAATATTTTTTGAGATTTTATTGCTATTAATATTAGCATATTATGCTAATAATTTGTGCTCGGCATCAATTCCTTTACAAAAAGGTTAGTTTTTGTTACTGTTTAAATTTTCCAAAAAATAATCAAAACTTAGTTAGATTTGATGAAACTGTACCTACACCTAACAAAGTTTAGAAATTTCTATCTAAACTTTTTTTTTTAAATGTACATGCGAGAAAAAAGTGTTCAAAAATTAATTGGATTAATCGAAACTTTTCCTATTTCATTTTCCTCCTCCGCCGTAACTCTACCTTTATATGAAAGTAATTTTTATTACTGCATAATAACTAATTTTAAAGCAAATGTGTTATTTCACAAAATGTTTAGGAAATTTTTTTATATGAATTTCGAAAAGGCGCAGATCAATTAATGAAAAACAAACAAAAAACTAAACTCTTTTTAAAATCAATTAAAAAAAAATTAGTTTCTAAAATTATATTTATAAATTGTGAGTAGAGAGTTCTTATTTTTATTTTTTTAAAAGACTTATTTTATATGTAAGTTTAATTTTGCAAATTCGATCAACTCGATTAAAAAAAAAAAAAAATAGAAAAAGTAAAGAATTCAAAAATATAATTTCTTGAACAAAAACCCTTATGAGAAACTTGTCAAATTTTCGACAAGAAAGCAAAAACAGTTGAGGAATAGTAAATGCTAAAACCAAAAAAATAAAAATAAAAGTCCTATACAACACTTGTTAACTATAACAAGAAAGGACTGTAATAGAGCTGCCAACAATTACAACACAACGACAATGCAACTTAAATAAAACTTTGAAAAAGACTGGCAACACCAAGCACAATTAAACTTAATAGCAGCACGCAATTTATGGAGATTACTCACAATTTAATATGAGATTTTGATATGCAAATATATCTTCCACACAAGCGCGGCATAATAAATACTTTATTCTCCACTTATTCCCATTCTACAATCCTATAATTCTTTTAGCTTCGAAATCCTGCTCTGATAGGAGGTCGAGGCATTCCCTGAGGAAGCATCGTTGGAAGTGCCATACCAGGCGGAGGACCTCTAGGACCTCCAGGTCCCATAGGGCGTTGAGGAGGAGGACCACCATTTATTGGTCCACCAGGTCGTTTCAGACTATTAGGTGCGCCTATATGAGAACTCATGCGAGGAGGCATTCCGATTGGAGGCATTCCAGGAGGCATCATACCACCTAAAATCAAGATACATCATGATAGCAGTTAAGAAAACAAGATATTAGACAGAAAAACTGTCTAATATTAACATTTTCAATTTAACCTGTTGGTGGCATACCCATTGGCGGCATCATTCCTGGAGGCATAGGAGGCATCATTCCAAGTGGTGGCATCATTCCAGGAGGAGGTAGCATACCAGGAGGAAAATTAGGCATATTTGGTTGATTCCTTGACGACTTCTCAGCTTGCTTGACTAAATATTGTAATAATTAAACGAATATATAAAACATTAAGATATAATAAAATGTGATTTAAAAACCTAAAAAATATATTTGTAAATACACTAGACCTTTATAAGAAACACAAAGTTAAAATATTGCAAAAATTTGAAAACAAACTTTAAACATTAAATCAAACAACTTTATTGTGTTCTCAGGTAACTTAGCAAAATAAAATAAAACAGTTTGTAAAGCTTGAAACACTTCTCTATAGCTAGAATCTATATACACTTGAGAATTGCAAAATAAAAACATTTCAGTACCCTTGTATTTAAATTATAAATAAAAAACTATTTAAAACTCTTTTTGTCTAAAAATCCCTATGAGATATTTTATCACCAATTTTATCACAAAAGACAAATTTGAGGCTAATATTGTTGCAAAAAAAACAAACACTGAAGTATAAAAGTGTTTCTTATTTTAAAAACAAACATGTACTAACTATTAGCCTTCTACCATAAAAAAAACTAAATTAAGTTTAAAACATGGTTAAGTGTTTTTATCCATTTTTTAGAGCTTTTAATTATAACGATTTCATTTATTTGCTCAAGCATAATTAATAGTTTCATTAAAATGTTGTGATGCTTCTTGCTTAATTGTAATCATAAGTGAAAGGAGCTCTGATTATATTCAAGGGCTGTTTTCAGGTGTTTTTTTATAAGTGCTCGCTTAAGACAGTTTGTGAACAAAGCAGAAGAAACCCTAAGCAAAGTTTTCTGTTATTTTTTTCTTCATGATGATTTTCAAACTATCATTAAGGAGAACTATGCAAAGCTCAAGAGAGAAAGCTAAAATTTAAAAGCTCTAAAAAAAAAAAAAAAGAATGATTTAATGCCTTAATTTCTTTCTATTCACAACACCATAAAAAAATTTTCAACATGATTGAAAATTTTATTGATGGTTTATTTTTAATAAACCATTATAAACTAACTTATTATTTTATTGTTTACTTCTTAATAATGCTCAACAAACAAAAAGACTAATTTTAGATAATTAACAACCCTCATAAATATGTAAAAAAAACCTATCCTGCTTTATTTATAGTTATGCAGGATCGCCTCAGAAGATAAAATTTCATTACACTTAATGCCAGTGAGAGTAAAAATCAGCAAAAGTATATCTGAAAAACCAAAAAAAAAACAAAAATTGACTCATTTTGAGAAATGTTTTTTGATATATAAGTAGGCTCCAGCTCAGAAATACTGTTTTGTTAAAGATTGATGCAACTTCTATGATTTTAATGCATTTATTGAAAAGCCTCCACCCAATCCTGATCTATATGAATCAATAGATTATTTTGATCTTTAAAACTAAATGCTTTAAAAAATAATCAATCTAAACATTAATACTACAGTTAACATTTAATGTTTTTTTTTAATGTCATTTTCTCCTAAGGTCATTTAGTATTGTAGTCAGTATTTCTATATATGTGTATATATTTCACTATATTTTATATTTTTCTGTATTTATGTGTACATTTTCTTTTAAAAAATAATATGTAATATAAAAAATATAAGAATTCTGCTGGATACATTTGAAAAACAATTATGCTTTTCCATGTTTCTTCATAGTTGATGTTTCTTTGTAAAGAAATTATAAATTTTTTTTATTGTCATTTCTCATGAAAACATACAGCTAACTTGATTTTCTTGGAGAACAGGCTTTAAAGCATTAATTTTAGTCAAGATTTTTTATTAATTCCTACTTTTTTTTAATAATAATAACTCTGATAATTTTAACTACTACACATTTTAAATTTATTAACCATTAATAATTTATGTGAAACTTTATTTAGTTTTAACATTGAAGTTTTTTTTAAAGATTTAAATTATTAAAAGTTTTTAAATGTTTTTAAAACCTTTATTATGAACCAGTTGTTAAATTAAGGAAACAATTTGTAGAGGTTTACATATAATTTATATATTCAAAAAATTGCAACACCTAAATAAAATTTAATACCACCAGGATGTCCTCGATAGAGATGAACTGGTTAAATAAACGCTATGCGTAATCAAGAACAAGATCTTTAACAGTTTGTTTTTGAAAGTTGACAAAATGCACGGCAAGGTATGTTATTAAACAAATCTTATACCAATGTTTTATTTTCAAATGTTTTTATTAATTTATATTTTTATGTGTTACAATGTTTTTATAGTTTATATGTTTATATTATTTTATTTCATGTTATAGTGGTGTTACTTGGCAATTTGTAGAACAAGGTTGTTATCCTTGCCAGTCAAACATTGTTATTAAATTTTAACATTACTCAGCATTTAAGTGGTATAAATGCCTATTAATTTTTTTTTTTAGTTTTTAAAATTTCAAATAAAACTTATTTTATCAATAATAACTAATTAACTGTCAAAAAACAAGTTTAATTAATAAAAAATAAAATACTAACTAGTTTGATCTATTAGAGCCTGTGCTTGGTCTTCCATCCATTTTGAATAATAAAACTTGACATTGTCTTTGTGCTTGCGCCCATTGTTATGTGTCTTGCGGACTGATGGCTAAAAAGATGTGACCATTATAAAACTTTTCATGGGGGAAAACATGCTATTATTTGAAAACTTGTAAACACTATAAGCAGGATATTCTATAACTAATTTTTATTTTACATCACTCAAAAAGGGACTTTTTCAAAACTCTTAATAATAAAATATAACTCAAAATCTAGGTTGGCCATTGGCATTCCGTAAACTAAAATCCTTGCTTTACTACAACATACAACCGCCAATCTGAATCTTTAAAAGTGTCTGCACATATAAACATAAGATATATATCAAAGGTTCAATGTGATTTCATAATTTTTTTTATAAAATCATTTTTTTAACTCCCTCCACACACACACACACACACACACACACACACACACACACACACACACACACACACACACACCCTCAAAAAAAAAAAGTAATGAACACAGTTTCTTAAAAAAAAAGTTCAAATAAAATGAAAAAACAAATTCATTTATTCATGATTATTGATTCATTTGCTCACTTTTTTTACTTGAGATTTTAGTGCAATTATTAAACTTTAAGAGCATTTCCAAAAAATCACATATAGAAAATTGTATGGTTTGCTTCTTCTTCATATTATTATTATTATTTTAAATAATACTTTATAAATTAGTAAAGATTTCCAGAAAGTCACAGGATTGCTCTATGTCTCATAAAATCAAAGCAATCCTTTAAATGCAGTTTGCATTATGCAAGGAAGTTTATCGAGTTTTTGTAGTTCGTCTTATAAAAACAAAATTGCTAGTGAGTATTCCAATTAAAATATATCCCTACAACTCATACTTTATATTTTTTCAATTTCAGTATTTCTAACTGGAGTGTAAGGTTTAGAAAACCATCTAAACTATTATATAACTATAATCTAAAATATTGCAACATTATCACATAAATATATAATGATAAAAATATACATATATAAACATTTAGGTAGCCAAAAATATGATGAAAATATTTTTATAACTATTCTTAAAGTTTTAATTGAGTAAATATTTAAATTTTAACTTTAACTTTTATTTCTCAACCTTCAATTATACTTTTAATCTATAATGTTAATTCTAAAATAAAATATTAAATTAAAAAAACAAGAGGAAGCGAAGCTGCTTCACAACCCCTAATTATGTGTAGTGCCTCAGGGATTTTTACTTTTTATTTCTTAAGAGTTTATAAAATAGAGGGAAGAAAATATTATTGTTAGCATCACGAATTTTTAAAAATGGCATCTAAAGCAAAAAATAATTAATAAACCTATATCTAAGATAATAAAAATATTTTTTTTCATGGGGGAAAAGAAAAATGATTGAATACACAGAAGGTTTATTTATTAAAATGTGATGTAAGAATTGTGTAAGGAACAAAACAGCTATTTTAAGAGAACCTTCAGTTAACAGAGAAGTGATTAATTCTTTACAACAAAACATCAGGTGAAAATTATACTCATTAGCTTATTTTATTTTGTCAATCCAGGAAATATTTAAACTAAGTTTTCTCTTATAATATCAGATTGAATGTTTGTTAATAGTTTAATAAACTATTAATAAGATTAACTTACATTTTACTTTATTTATGTGCAATTATCTTCCAACTCTATAAAGCAACTTTCAACAGATTCTTTGAAATTCATAAATTTTAATTTAAAAACCTCAAATTTTATTAAAGGTTGATCGTCATCTTAAAAAGCGTATTCACAAATTAGCAGTACTAATCAATAATGAAAACCCTACTGAAGGAACTGGAAATGGCTGCCTCATTATTGCTGACACCTAATACTTGTATACTACTGAGCAAAACGCCAGTGAAGCATATTTAAAGATAATCAGAATAGTGTATGAAATGGGTTTAAAATCAAATATGCTACATAACAACTTTAAGATCCTGATTAAATATCAAAGACTTAATGGTGTATGTTTTATAGAAGGAAAAACCAACAATAAAAATGGTTATTGATCTTCATGGCTCAATTTGATAAAAAAAATAAATTTGTTACTAACAATCTCAATTTTTTCTATAATTAGAAAAAGGAAACATCAGAAAGATTGAAAAGTGTATGATAATAACAAGCTTTACAAACTATTAATGATTCAATCGTATTTAAACAAAAAAAAAGTTCAAAAAATAAAATTTATTAATATAAATGTAGGTCAAAAAAGTGAGAGTTTCAATTCACTTATGTCACTATTTTCATGTTTCAAAGTTTCATAGGTACATGTGTATTTGTGCATGAGTATTATTGGTAAGCACATATATAAAACAAACCTTTATATTGAACAATTGATATTTACAGTCAAAAAAAAAAAAAAAAAAAAAAAAGCAACTCAAAGTATATACGTACTGAATCATGAGTCAAATATGTATCACAGTAATCGCAGAAATATCTAAAAGTAAATTTATCTTATTAAAACAATATGCTAACATAAACATTAACTTATTTATAAAGTTAAGTTTATTAACCGCATACTTTAAAACATGCAGTAAAATTTATTAAATAAGTTTGATTGCATATTTGAAGCATGTACAAAACAAATATAACTTTTAAAAGAACTGAATTATTTCAATTAATTCAAAGCAAAGAAAAATAGTTAGAGAAAATAAAAAACTTGATATATTAAAAAATAAATTTAAATAATATTTCTTATTCTTTTAACCAAATTTAACAAAATATGATCAATACCATTTGCTAGTTATGACAGTTCTATTTGAAAATACATAACAAATTTTAGAGTACTTAATATATATATATATATATATATATATATATATATATATATATATATATATATATATATATATATATATATATATATATATATATATATATATATTTATGTGTGTATATGACCATGCATAAAGTTCATTGTTTTAACAACTTATATGACCATGCATAAAGTTCATTGTTTTAACAACTTGACCACAGCTCTTGGCAAGTTTTGATAATTTGCGCGTTTAAAAAATGCGCTAAAAAAAAACAAAGCAAATTAAAATTATAATAAACAATCCATAAACTGAAAAGAAAATAAAATCCTTAAAATAAAATATAATACAAAAATTAACCTAAAAAAATAAAATATTCAAAGAATGATAAAATAAATAATTAACCAGAAAAAAAAAATCAAAACATTTATTAACTAATGTAAACTTAATTGTAAACAAAAGTAAAAAAAAATCACAGCTTTAATAATCTTTATCATTCCTTCCCATGAATAATTAGGCTGATACAAGGGCGAATCCATTGTAAGGAAAAGGGTCCCCCCCCTTCCCCTCCGATTATTTATTTATTTTTTCAGAAATTGATGTTTAAAAATGTAAGTAACTTAGGCTGTTTAAAAGTGCCATGAAATTTAATAAAATTTTGTGGTGCAAGTTTAAAATTTTATTAAAAAATTAATAGAATACAGGGTGTGACAAATCGACAAAAGTGCGCGCATTTCAAGACAGACAGAAAAACAAATATCACATTTCTTTAATTTTGCTTATGCAAACGTTGCTGTTTGATAAGGATTTTTCAAATCGAACGTATTACTTCAGCAATTTTTTTCAAAATAATTTTGCTATCATAAGTTTTTTTATTTATTATAAAAAACACATACTTACAGACTTAAATCACTTAAGACTTAAAGTCACTTTTAAGGAAAATAACTAAATATAGAAAAAAGTAATTATGTTTTAGCATGGTTTTTGTATGCGCTCACAAATACATACATAATTTTACTTAAAATGAATGCTTTTGCAAAAACCTCAAAAGAAACCATACTCAAACATTTTGATTGCTTTCTTTTATTGAGAAAAGCGATCAAGTTTAACGATGGTTTCTTTTATGTTTTTAGCAATTACATTAAAAGTTTAAAGCAAATGTATTCATTATAAATAAAATTTAGCATGCTTTTTTTAAAATTTTCTTATTTTCCATAAAGTAAAATAATGTTTGATTGCATATTAAAACTTTTGCACTTTTAAAAGTTTTTTTATTGTGCACTTACCATTAATTTGCGCGCACTTTGCAAATGTGTAAAAAAAAGGTTTATGAAAAATAACAACTAAATAAACTTACCAAGCATCTTTGATATATTTAATAACTTAACTAGAACTATTTGAATTTTATTTGACATAAATCTCTTAAATTAAACGTTCGTCAATAAATAAAGATATGCAAGTCAACATTCATTAAAAAAAAATAACGATATGTCACGCCCTATAAAAAATAATTGGCAGATGCGATTGTTTCAAGATTATTGTAATTCCTTTTTTCTAGTAAATAATTTCTTAATTAGAAATTATAATTCCATGATAAAATGATTTGTAATTAGTTTCTGTACTCATTTTGCCTTAAACTCTAATCTGAATATTTTTTTCAATGATTGCATTTAATTGAAGTACTCAGGAAATTTTGTCAGAGTTTTATTGTGATTATGGAATTAATTAAATTAAAAATCGATTTGTTTTTTTTTTTAGCGCATTTTTCAATCGTTAAAAAATTTTTAAAAAACAATAAAATTTAATGGACTTCCACATTAATTTAATTGCTTTGACATTTCGACGACAATCAAATACAGCTTAAGAGACGAGGTAATTAAAATTGTAGTCGAAAGAGACTTTTTTTACATTAAAAGACTCTTTCGACTACACTATAAGGATATATATATATATATATATATATATATATATATATATATATATACACACACACATATATATATATATATATATATATATATATATATATATATATATATATATATATATATATATATATATATATATATACACACAGGGTGGCCCGTAAGTTTTGTCCACCCGTTATGACTACTCATTGTTTTTACTGAAAAAGAAAAGACAACATACGATCTTATTGATATGTCTTTGCAAGTTGTTTATTAGAGGTTGATTACTTTTACGAGGTGGAAAAAGTTTGAGACTCTGGTCAAGTGTAAAATTTCGATTTTACACTTGACCAGAGGTTTGTAAAAGTTATAAATTCGAATTATAAAAAAATTTGTGCTATATAAAAATAGACCTAGAAAAGCAGTGAATGTATTCATTGCAAGATTTTCTGTTAAGTTTTGTTAAATTACATCTGTCTAACACATTTCAGTTTTAAACCAGCTTACTTTGAGGTTATTTTTTTGGCAATTTGAGTTCTTTGTTGTCTCCAGTAGGCCCAAAAGTTTTGTCCACTTTAGGTTAAGAGGACAATGTGCTATTTTCTATATTTTCTGTATCTGCATCTGTATTTTTAGATGGGTAAAGTTATTGGAAAATCAAATTTAACAGCATTGCTGAAGAAACGCATTGCTGAGTTAGGTAAATTAGGAAAGTCTAAGGCTGAAGTAGCTGCTGCAATTGGCTGCAGTGAGAAAAGCGTTCAGCGATACTGGAGAAAACCTGTTAATACAAACTTTAATGAAAAGAAACGCTGTGGTAGTCCAACTGTGTTGTCAACAGCATCAAAGAAGTTAATAACCAGTGAAATGAAGGACAAGTGGGGTTCATCAACAAGAAGTTGTGCGAAAAAGTTAAACTTTTCTGAACGATACATTACACGTAAAAAACAAATTTCTCGTTTAACAGTGCAACATTTTGTTCAACATCAACCATGGGGTAAAGTGGCTTACCATAAACCAATAAAACCACTATTGACTGAAAAAAAACCAAATGATCGCTTGAAATTTTGTGATTGGTTGGAACAAAATGGTTACCTTCAAGATGACCATGTTGGTAGACAAAAACGAGGCCATGTTCTGTGGACAGACGAAAGCCCTGTTGAGTTATTTCCAGTTCCAAATCGTCAAAATATGCGAATACAGACCGATGACAAATCAAAGATCACTCCAGCTGTTCGACCTAAGTTTGGATTGAAAATTATGGTGTGTGGTGGTATGTCACGGTATGGATTGACTGAATTGGTTGTTGTGCCAGAGAAGCAGACAGTTAATGGTGATTATTACATGAATCACATTTTACCAAATTATGTTGAGGCTACTACAAGAAACCATCAAGGTGATACTGCTGATAAGAGAAAAATGTTTTTTAACCAAGATATGATTCTTTTTCAGCAAAATGGTGCACCTGCACACTCAGCAAAAATCGTTCAGCAATTTTGTGCAAAAAACTTTCCGTCGATGATTCCAAAAGAATTGTGGCCTGGGAATAGTCCAGATATTAATGTAATTGAACATTTATGGAACTTGCTTCAACAAAGTGTCTTTGAAGCTCCTAAGCTAAGCCTAAGTGCTTATTGCGTATAAACATATTTTGTCATGAAAGGGGGGGGGGGACAAAACTTATGGGCCACCCTGTATATATATATATATATATATATATATATATATATATATATATATATATATATATATATATATACACACACACATATATACATTGCTTGCTTTATAAGCAGGATACGTTAAGATCAGAACTTATATATATATATATATATATATATATATATATATATATATATATATATATATATATATATATATATATATATATATATATATATATATATATATATATATATATATATATATATATATATATATATATATATATATATATATATATATATATATATATATATATATATATATAATTTGGGTGGCGGTACCTCTCCATCCCAGAGAAAATCATTGCCTTTTTGGAAAAAAATGTAAAAAAATAAAATATTTGCAATAAAAAACGTTAAAAAAAAAAAAAAACCCTCAAATTTTATTTTGGGCGGTGCCCAAATACGGTTGATGCTGTCAAAAATGGTCTGGAATAGCCCCTGATATATATATCCCTCAGAATTAGAAAAAATGAGGTTAACAATTTATTGCTAACCTCAAACCTTGTCAATTTAATAATATAAATTATTTTATACTGTAACAATTGTTTTGTTTTTAGTAGAGCAAATTTTTAGTATTATATATGTGAATATAAATAGTACATTGAATATAATACTACATTGGATATAATATCACTACAGTGAATATAAATACAACACAAGTTATAATAGAATTAATAAAAAAAAATTTCTTTCCTTTTTAAACACATAGATTTTTTCCCCAAAAAACCTTGTGAAATATCGTGTAATACAACTATAATATTAATGATGATATGGTCAAGTTCACAAAGTTGTTTATAAAAGAATAGTATTATTGATGTAATTAAGGTGAAAAGTCATTTTTTTAAATAAACAAATAATTGCATAATAAACCTTTTTAAAGGTACAGTTTTAAAGGTACAAGGTACTTTTTTAAAAGCACAGTTTTTTCAATGAATAACCATTAGCTTCTAAAAAAAACCAAAAGCTCTCATAAAAAGCATATGTATCAGGCTTGGTCGGGAAGCGGGTGCGATTGCACTCGATAACTGACTGATAACATCATCAGCGTTATTGTGAAGCAGTTCCGCTTCCTCCTCACATAGTAATTTAATGTTTTTAGTTAATTTCTATTTAGCTAATTGAATTTCTACAGTAACTCAATGATTTAATTATTTCATTTATTCATCTTATAAGATATTTAACACATTTGAAACAACTTTTCTTAGTATACTAAGAAAAATTGTTTCAAATGTGTTAAACTTTTCAAACTAGGCAAAGCATAAAACAGTTATTGAAAAAACTTTTTTATTTATAAATAAATCATCTAGCGTTAGTTTTAATAGTTAAATCTTGTTGGACTTTTCAGGGCCGGGGACTGCATTATTTTGGCAGTCTTTATTATGTGCCACAGCATAAACATGACTGAAAAAAATACCGAATGGTCCTCGTGACTATTTCGCGGCCCCTAACATTGTGAGTCCTGAGGCTTTTATTTCTTTTATTTCTGATTCATTAAAATTTCTTTCTTTTTTATATAGTTCTGTCTGTTTATAATTTTCTTCCTTTGCTGTTTTTTTTTAATTATCTAAAGAGTCATGGTCAAGCTTTCGAAAAAAAAACAATTACATGCATGGTCATAAATAAATATATATTTATACTGCAACACTTGACACCTAAAACTTTCCAGAAGTGTGAAGTACTATCATATAATTTAGTCTGTAAAAGTTACAGCATTAAAGTTTAAAACATTTATAGTCATAATGCTTATTTTTTACCACTTCTGAACAAAACAACTTTGTCAGACTTAATACAGAGAACAACATGATAAAAAAAATAATCATTTGGTGTGTGTATTTAGTACATATTGATATTATTATATGCTGAGTTTCATAATTTTTACTTGAAGTTTTACAAGCATGTCTTTTTGTTGTTGCGTTGTTGTAACGAAGAAATCTAATATTTAACAACAACAAATAAAAGGACCCAATCAATGATATTAGAAAAAAAGTATAAACGATTGTTTAAAACATTATTTAGTTCTCAATTATGGTTTTACAATACAACTTTTAACGCTGCACAACAGGACTGTTGTGCAGCGTTAAAAGTAACGCTGCACAACAGTCATATATATATATATATGCAATATATATATATATATATATATATATATATATATATATATTGCATATATATATATATATATATGCAATATATATATTGCATATATATATATATGCAATATATATATATGCAATATATATATATATGTATATATATATATATATATATATATATATATATATATATACATATATATATATATGCAATATATATATATATATGTATGTATATATATATATATATATATATATATATATACATATATATATATATATATATACATATATATATATATATATATATATATAAATATATATATATATATATATATATATATATATATATATATATATATATATATATATATATATATATATGTGCAAACCTCTAGAGTTACTATTCAAAAGATCCTTACAAGAAGAACAAATTCCACTCATATGGAAAACGGCTAATGTAACACCACTACAAAAGAATGGAGATAAAAATGATCCTGCAAACTATAGACCAATTTCATTAACGTCAATACCATGCAAAATTCTAGAGTCAATCTTAGGTAACAAATAATGGATTACATGTTAGCAAACAATTTATTAAATAGTAACCAACATGGTTTTCAAAAGAACAAAAGCTGTACTACTAATCTACTAGAAACACAAGATATTTTACTTGATGCTATTGAGAATGGCTGTGTTGATGTGTTGTATACAGATTTCTCAAAAGCTTTTGATAAAGTACCTCATATGCGATTGATGTCAAAGTTAATATCATATGGTATAGTTGGAGTAATTCTAAATTGGATAGAAGCCTATTTACATATAGAAAGCAACGAGTAATTTTAGGGGATTGTGTATCAAAATGGCTAACAGTTGAGAGTGGAGTTCCACAAGGTTCTGTCCTTGGGCCTCTTCTGTTTCTTATTTTTATAAACGATCTGCCAGACACATTAAAAAATAATATTAAATTTTATGCAGATGATAGCAAAATTATAAATATTTTTAAATTAGATGAAGATATCCGTATAAACAAATTACAACTAGATATTGATAATATTATGAAATGGTCGTCACTATGGTTAATGAAATTTAACTATGAAAAGTGTAAAATTATGCACATTGGTTTTAAAAATCCTTGTATAACTTATTCAATGTTCGACGCTGAAACTCAACAGAATAATATATAAGCAGCATCAAAAGTAGAATGTGATTTAGGAGTAATGATGCAATCTAATTTAAAATGGACCAGTCATATTGATAAAGCTGTTGGTAAATCAAATCAATATATATATATATATATATATATATATATATATATATATATATATATATATATATATATATAAATATAAATATAAATATAAATATATTTATATATATATAAATATAATATATATATATATATATATATATATATATATATATATATATATATATATATATATATATATATATATAATAAACTAATAATAATAATAGACTAATATAACATACATAGCATATATAGCAGATATATTAGTACAAGAACATTTCAAAAGCATTTATTAAGTAAAGTATAAATTATAACAATATATATACATATATATATATATATATATATATATATATATATATATATATATATATATATATATATATATATATATATATATATATATATATATATATATATATATATATATATATATATATAATAAATTAAACTAATAAAAAGCTAAGAAATTAGAAACTACCAACTAGCTTTGTAGAAAACAAAAAGCAAGCTCTTAAGCGTTTAGAGAAATTTTTAAGATAGTATATACAGAACGTAATTGTGACAATAAATTAAAATTATGTAGATACACTTTATTTGAATTAAACGATGATAAAAATTTGGAATTGTATTTTTTGAACATTTCTATTCTTATAGTTAAAAATAAAACATTATACAATTAAGTTATATTCTAATTCTTGAACGTAAAAGTAAAATTAACATCAAATTACACAATGCTATTATTTTCATTTTTAAAAAAGTGCATAAATTAAATTAAAATTTAGTCATATATTTACTTGGGCATCTTGGATTCCTTTACCCTTTCTTCAAGTTTTAAGTAGCGCGCGTCATTAGGCTCATGCTCATTTAATGTTTAGACTGGGGAGGTAAACCAAGTCAAAGTCAAAGAAACCGTAAAATACGCTTAACTCGACCCGTTTTTAGCCAGGCGATAATACATTGCAAGCCGTGTTGCTATTTGAATTCTACAATGAAACATCACACTATGTCTAGATAACAACGTTTCAATAAATATTATCTTTTGAATCGTATACAAATACATTTTTCATTTACATCTTCGATTTTTCATTGAAGTTAAGTGTTGTCCAAAATAAATTGAAAATTGTCCGAGTCATACCTATTTATATGTTTGGAGATTTTTATATTTATTGGCCTCTATCAGTTTTACCCTGATTTTTCAAACTATTAGAACGCGTCCTGTGTAATACATGTTTACATTTACATGTTTACATTTTTTTATTTGGCTGAAAAAAACTTGATATACTAAAAAAAATTTTAGTTAAAAAGTAAAAACAACCATTCAGGCTTTAATTGAGCTAGTATTAAATATATCTAATGTTTTTAGTAATGATTGCTTTACATTTGGAGTTTTTATTGACTTTTCGGAAGCTTTTCACATCGTATATCACAACATTTCTTAAACTGTTTGGAGTAAGAAATAATAGCTTACTTTGGTTTAAAGATTATTTATCAAGCAGATAGAAATATAAAACAACAAAGACATTAAATTTATTCTTATTTGAATCCAATCTTTTTTATTCACATAAGTATATCAAAATACTTTTTCCCAGTAGTTAACAATGAATTACATAACGTAAACGAATGATTCATATCTGATAAACTCTTTTTGCACGTTTAAATAACTAAATTCATCCTATTTCATAAAACAAATAAAGCAGGGTCGTCTTGAAGAAATCTCACAGGAAGGCGTGGGGCTTTTTTGTATAATGTTGATAGTTTGCAAAAAAGAGCAGAGATTCTAAAATCATGTTTAACCCTTTAAAGTAAACTTACCGTAAATCTAAAATCGGACATTAATGGTATTCTCCTTTGCGATGAACTGATGAGCATTAAACCTTTTCTTTATGAAATGGTCAAGGATAAAATTACTCCTATTATTGTTTTAAACTTTATAAAACAGCATAAAGAGCAAGATTTTTATACAAACACATGGATTGCAATGCAAATTTTGCTAACAATAGCTGTCACTGTAGCGATTGGAGAAAGAAGCTTTTCCAAAATGAAACTTATAAAAACCTATCTCCGATCAACAATGTTGCAGGACAGACTTTCAAGTTTAGGAACCCTATTGATTGAAAACAATATTGCTGAAACTCTTGATTTTTCTACGCTAATCGAGTTTGGTGATTAAAAGGTCCAAAAGATTAATTTAAAAAATTAAATGTATTTTGTGTAAAACATAAACAAAAAACGTTTCTTTGTATGTATGTAGTATGTAGCATTTCATTGCAAAGTATTATTTTTGAATTCGATTTGTTATTATTTTCTGTGTAAATTACCAGCAAGTTTATAAATTGTCAGGGGCGGCAGAAAAAATTTCGCACGAGGCCGGCACTGCATGCTACCGCGTAATTATAAATTAAAGTCGTATTTAAAAAAATATGGCAATTATTATTATTTTTAGTGTAATTCTTTTATATACTTCAACATCAAATTAGTAAACTTTCCTTTGATTTTTAGGTCTATATTTTTATATGAATCTTAATAAAATAGGGGGTACAAAAGTAAATTAGGGGCTGTCCAGTAATTATTTAACAAAATAAGGGTAGGGGGTCTGAATTTTTTTGACAATTGTTGACGAGGGGGAGAGGGAGGTCAAGACAAGTTGACACCAACAATCTTGTTTTTTTAAATAAATTTAGTTACTTAAAAAAGAAAAGTTAGACAGCGTTTCCAGTCCTGTGTTACATACTCGATCAATCTTCAGTATTTTTTATAAAGCTATTTACATTCCTAATTTTTAAAAACCGTGTTGTGCTTTACTTGTAAAAATAAATTACTTTTTCAAATAACAGTTACGAATTTAAGTAAAAAACCCGACACATACAGAATTAAATAAGCACCCACGAGATGTTTCATCGTAACGCTATTATTTTTTCAAAGATATTGTTGGTTATTCTGCTGTGCAAACAAAATAGATTTATGTAAGTACATAAATCTACATTATACTATATAAATGTTTAACGGTCTACATTATACTATTTAAACGTTTATACTAGGGGTCGGCAACTTGCGCCTCGCATGCCTCATGTGCTCTATGCACAAATGTTAATATAATATAAGTTCTTGACGAGGATTGCCAAAAAACTGTTGGCCCGCCATTTAGCGCCAAAAGTTACAATGTTTTAATTAAAGATTTATTAAAATCCAAATTATTTTATAACTTTTTATAGATAATTGTTTATATAAGTTACAAATAAGTAATTAATTTAAGCCTCTCTATTATAATTGATAATAAAAATTGGAAGGGAGAGGGGGCTTAAGGAAATTAGTGACAAAGTTATATTTTGATTTAAGATTTATTGAAATCCAAATTTTTTTATAACTTTCTTTAGATAATTAGGGTTGGCACTTTTACTTATTTTAATGTAAAAACGCGATTTACTTTTAAGCGTAAATTACTTACATAACTCATATTAAAATATATAATTCACTTACATTTAAAAGTAATTAATTTTTTTACTACATAAATTATATTACAAGTAAAACTTAATTACATAAATTTAATTACTTAAATTCGTAACTGTTACTTGAAAAAGTAATTTATTTTTTCAAGTAAAAATAAATTGCTTTAAAAGTCGTTTACTTTTTTTTGAAAAAGTAAATTAAGTTGTTAAAAAGTAATTTACTTTGAAAAGTAATTTCGATTTTACTTATTCGCGAAACTTACATTGAAAAGTAATTTACTTTTTATATGTAAAAAAGTTCTTTTCTGAGATAACGTTATGTAAATGTAATGTTTGAAAAATGTAACACTTACTTTTAAAAGTAAAATAAAAGTACATTATAAAAATAAATTACTTACATAAGTAAAAGTAACTAATTAGCAAACGCAACTTAGAAAGCTGAGAAAGAGCGCATGTTAAGTGAACTCCAATCACTACTTTGTCGGCGTACTTTACTTAGGCTAAGCCTAAATAACAGTTAAGCTTAACATGTATTGCACTCTCTAACATCGTGTGCAATCCTGTCCGCTTACTCTATGCTATTTTTCTAACTCGACTACTTCTATCTTTCACTCTAACATATCTTCGTTCTTCCCAAACTCACCTTACTCTCAGTCTGTAGAGCGGGTATGACTCTTCCTCGGGAGCTCAACCAGTCTTTGCGGACTTCTGGTAAAGTGACCGCTATATGGCAATTAGCCGGAGGAAGTAAAACCACAATACCAGCAAAGGCAACTTACATAAAAGTAATTTGAAAAAAAAAAAAGATTTACTGTTAATAGATAAAAGTAAAGTTTTTCTTTCAAATAATTATTTTACTTAGTAAATAAGCAAAATGTAAATTACATTATTTACTTCTTCAAAAAACAAAACCGTTTTACTAACATTTTTTTAAGGTAGGTAGTTTATTAAAAAGCATTAGTTGGTGGGTACATCTGGGTTATACTACTCGGAATTATTCAGATGTATGTGGGCCGTTTTTGCGGCGGAGCATTACAAATTATACAAGTAAGGGCTAATATAGTTATCAGGATGGATTTGTAAAAGTAGGACAGCGACGGCGAGGGTCCTTGAGCTATAAGGAGCAAAATTATTTTTTCGTTTAGACCGAAAGTAGATTATTGGTCCTAATTAAACATTTAAATGTGGTCAGGGGAGGGCATAATTTTGATTTTTTTGTTACTTTTTAAAATATTTTTGCCCTAAGTGCCCCAAAAAGTCTGTACGGTACAGAGCTCCGCGTAAAAACATTTAACATCGCGCTTTTTTTCTAACCGATGTCGCAAAACTCACCCATTTCGTGGTAAACTTTTACCCTTTATGATCAAATATTTATTATGCACTATTTATTTGGTATGGGGGAGGGCAAGATAAACTAAATGCTATAAAACGATATCCGTTAAGGGCAAGAAAAGCCAGTTAACCATAGACTAAAAGATCTGTGCACCACAAATTATGGAGCACACAGCTTTTATTATTACTTGGGGACCTAAGTTACTGAAAAGAAGGTTATTGGCAACAACCTTTCTTTCATTTGCTTTGGTGGCCAAGCCGCCCACAGTGCCGGATCAAGGAGAGGGGGCTAGGGCTATAGCCCCAGGCCCCGCAAATTTAGGGACCCCCAAAAATTTTAGAGGATCTTTTTTTTTTTTTTTTAAGTCATTTTTAGGCTCTGGTCATAAAAAGGCATCCAAAAACATAAATAGCCTCGGGCCCTAAGAAATCTTAATCCGCCACTAGCCGCCCAAGTAATATTCTAACATCTTTTCAATATCTTATGTTGCTTCAATGATGTTTCTATTCAAGGCTAAAATTTTACAAAAAGTTCTTAAAAAAAAGTTAGTTTTCATTTGGGTGAGAGTTGTTGTTAATAATTACGCCGACTTAAAGATCTTACGATAGACGATTTAAAATAGTCTTTTAAAACAAATGAAAAATTAGGTTTTCACCCTTTTGAAACTAATTTAAACCTCAAAAAAAAAATTAGACCTTTTGAAAACCGCAACAGTTGCTTATAGGCTACTAAATGAACTAAACTAACGTTTATTTTACCGTTTCTTTTTAAAAACTTTTTTAATAACGTCTTTTTGGGTTTCCATTGCTTTTTTATAACAACTTTAGAATCGCTAGGTTTATTTTATTGTTTTTGATGTATATTGCAACGTTTCTTTTTTATAAGTATTTTTTTATTTACTAGTCATATTATTTTTCAGAGCCTTTAAACATTCGATCCCACTAAAAATTGATGCGCCTCTCGTGAAGCAAATTTATTATTATTTGTTTATTTTATTATTTATTTATTTTATTTGAATTTTTTATGCTATATTTTTTTAATACAATGTTCTTATATCCGAAGATATTGTTGGCTTATCATAGGATATATATATATATATCTTATATATATCTTTTATATGACAATTTAAATTATACTTTTACCAGTATAATTTAAATTGTCATTCTGACATAAGTGCGAAACCGAAAGTAAGTGCGAAAGTGTGTTCATGCTTATTTGAAAAAAATTTAAACAACTTCCTCATTTTGGAAAGGATGTAAAGTTTATTCATACATTCAAACTTAATCATAAATGTTGAACTCTAAATGATAAGCGTTATAAAACCTGTCGCAAAACTTTCACGAATATGAAAATGGAAATTGATTTTGTTGCCCTTACATTTGAGGAACAGGTGACTAAAATTTTAGTGTATTTTTGATTTTCTAGTATACTTAAAACCCACAACTGCGCTATACCTCAGGTTTAGTGTCGTCACGACGCATTCCTTTAGCCGTAAAAAAATTCATAAATGGAAATTATTCTGCATTTTTTGCAAGGGTAATAAACTCGTTAGCCCTCAACCTTATTGGCTGACTGAATTTTTTCCGGGGCTATTTAAGCAAGTGGATGTACCACAGCTTAAAACTGAATTTAAAAAAAATAATCTTTTTAAAGTTTTCGGGTCTCTTAAAAGTAAGGCACCCAGGGCTATAACCACTCTAGCCATACCTTATATAATTAAAGACTCTGTGGTCCTATTGACGTTTCCTACAATACACCAATTCTCTCTTCGTTATGCTTTTCCACTCTTTCTGCACCTGGTATATGCGCCGTATTGCCGCTGCTAAATTTTGACGGAGACCAAAACCGAAAGCCTCATCTTCATCTTCAAAACAATATTCGCTATCAACATCATCTTCACTCAAGAAAGTTTATAATACGGTTTAGCTCAAAGAATAGTTTTAATAGCTAAAACCATAACCGGATTATTTGTTGCCCGGGGATATTTTTAAAGTAGCTTCCTTTTTTTAAGTGCTATAACATCTAAAGTGATTTAAGAATTTAAAAAAACGGTCCTTTTGAATATTTTATGGCCGCCGCCTAAACCTAACCACCACCACATAGTCTAGAACTGCCCAATATAGTCATGGACCGAAAGTAAGAATGGTTTTAATCGGCAGCATTTTGATGCCTACAAACCAAATACTGATACATCAAATTTTACAAGGGAAAAAAAAGCCAAAACCGCTCACAAAAAATGTCGCCAAAAACTAAATGTTAGTTACTTTGATGCAAGTTGTATTTTTTGCATTTCACTCGGTTGCACAATTTCCTCTCTAATTTATTTTAGAGTATAAGTAAATTTACTTACTTATAAAATATAAATTATTTTTAGCTTACTTTAAAAATTATATAAAATATAAGCTTATGTAATAGAATTTTTTCTTTATATAAATTTTTTTTTACAACAATTTTTTTTTACTTATATAATGAAAAATAACAAATTATATAATATTATTTTATAAGTAAATTTTATTTATATTGGGTCGCCTATTACTTTTATGTAATTCTTTTTTATATAAAAGTTTTTTTTACAAATACGGTAATATATATTTTTTATTAATTATTTTTATATATAAATGTAAATTACATTTTGAGGAACTATTAAATTATGTAATGTAATTTGAAAGAGTAATTAATATTTATATGTAAAAGTAAATTGCTTTTTTATGAGACTTACTTTTACTTGAGAAAGTAAATTACTTTTTGATGTAATCTGTTTTTACATAATATTACTTATAATTACTTTTATAATTACTTACATAATAAACTTTTTCAAAAAAATTTACTCGCGTAAGTAGTAAAAGTGTCATCCCTATAGATAATTGTTTATATAAGTTTATATACAAATGTTAATATACAAATAAGTAATCGACAAAAAAATAATTTAAAAAAATACAAACTGATTGAAATGAACTTAGATGTTTATCAAAAACATAAAGCAATACTTAATAACATCAATGTCTTGTCACAGAGCACCGCGGAAGATCTTTAATTTAACAAAGAATGGCGACTATAATGCACAATCTTGTTAAACAAATGAAGCAATGCCAGTCAGTATATTTTTATCTAAAGTAATAAAAAAAATAAAACAATTTAAAAAAAAATTGTTAATTTTAAAAATGTATATATTTTACATACCTTTAAAAAGAAGCATGACACTTTAAACAAAGAAACATGGAGAAGCATAATCATTCTTTTTTGAATATTTCCAGCAGAATTTCTTTTATTTTTCATATTTTTTATTATTTCTTCTCAGATAAACTTTACATATAAAAACAGAGAAATTTAACATATATTGAAACATACGCAGATTTGTGTATATAAATTATATATAACATCATGAATATTTCAACAAATAGCAGTTTCATTTAGTTTTTTATGTTAAATACATCAATAAAATTCCAACCAAAAACGAAACTAAATAGTTGACACAAGATATTCGGTATCGAGAGTCGGTTTATTGTCTGGTATTGATGCGATACCCTAAAAAAATATTTCTAGAATAATTTTGATATCTTTTTTTATATAATTTTGTACTGCACCAAACAAGTTTTAACAAATAAAACATCCTTTCAGGCACTGATTCCATCCCCTAAGATTGACAGCAGGTTACAATAAAATATAAACTTTACAATATGCTAATTTTTATTTTAGAGGAACTGTGCTACTGGGGTAAAGTGGGACAACCATGAGGTAAAATAGGACAAGCGAGTAAATAACAATATATTAACAAAAATTATTAATTAAAAACTATTAAATTCGTAAAACATGTAATCCTCATCAAAATATTTTTTCAAAATAAGATTTTCATAAAATATTTACACAAAAGTGGTAGAAATAGGTAATCAATTTTCTTAGTCCCCCTTTATCTCTCAAAAAATCTTAACAAAAAAGTTGGGGGACTTATTAAAAAAGCGGTTTTTGCAACACGCAGGAAGATAGAGCGATGTTTGCTAAATAGCTAGGCAATATCTTATTGTTTACTTTAGATAAGGTTGATTAGTGGCCTCTCCTAATTGGAATTTTGGAGATGCCCCACTTCTCTCTCGTTCCACTTCTTCCACTCTTAAGACTATATGAGTCAATTATATAGGAAAGATCTTTCCTATATAATTGACTCATATAGTATAATTCTCAAGAAATTCTCAAGGATTGTGTGGTATTGTATCACATCATGTTTATCGTTTAAAGTTTCAAATAGAATCGTGACATTAATTTAATTAATTATGTTGTATCGCTTCCGTAATTTAATTTCCTATCTGGTATCGTTATTTTAATAACGATACCAGATAAGAAGTTATCAAAACAACGAAAGCGAAAAATTATGTCTCAGTTTTATTCTTTAATACTAAATCAATAAGAACTTATACTTGAGTTATCTTAATTTGCGCTTGCGTTATTTTTTTTTTTTTCGCGTTTTTTTTTTTAACATTATTAGTTAAAAAAAAAAAATCTGGATCTGGCACAAACTATATGCAAGAGGTTGGAAAGTATAAAGAGCTACTTCGTCGACGTAGTGTCTTAAGTGCGCTCTTGAAAATATGAATACAAAATTTTTTTCGAAAAAAAGAACGTTGTATTATAAATAAAAAAATATTTATGATCACAGTCTTTACCAATTTTTAAATCTCAAGATCGCAGACATTTCCAGTATAAGTAAATTGTTTAAGAAACATTATGTGTATTTCTTTTCTTTCCAGTATATGTAAACTGTTTGGAAAAGCAAAGTTCCACAGATTCCAGAACGTTTTGGAGAAATTAAAATGTCGTTACAAACACCAATCGTGTTTTTATAAAAATTTCTTCACAAAAAACTGAAACACTGCAGTATTATAGATTTTCTTCTACTTTGGTTGTTGCTCTTCTTACCTGTGTTATAAAACACAATCTTTTATAGTGTGCGTTCGGTATCTCAAAGTAGTGGTGGTGTAAAAACTATTTATTAATTATTTACTGGTAGCTATATATATAAATATACTTTGTAAAATTAGTTGAGTTTTTTTAAATAGTATCCACCGTCTTTGAGTAGGTGATACCCGCCATGACGTTAATACAAAAAATGAAAAAGAAAACATGAATGTTTCATGATAAGAATGACGATTGTTTAAATGTTGAATTTAAAAAAGAGTATACGTTTTTTATTCATTATTTTTACATTTAAAAAAAGTTTTAAAAAAAAAAAAAATTATAGTGATAGTTTTAAAAACTCTTACATTTAAAACACCTTATTTTAACATAATGCACCATAACCATTCCATCGCAATATTGATATTTTGTAATATTGGAATTATTCTCAATGGAATTGGTTTGTTCGTTTTAATAAAGTTCACAAATGGTTACAATTTAACTCAGAGGTTTATTCTTATTCAACTCAGTATCGTTGACTTGTGTTTGAGCGTATTAGTTGAAATTGAAGAATGTAGCAATATTTTAAATTTAAACTTGAGTAATAGTTTAGTGTATTCAGTAATTAAAGAAGTTTTTAACGCTGGATTTTATTTTACAACATTTTGGTTAGTATTCGATAGATACTTGCATATAAAAATGAATATTAAATATGTCATATATTGGCCACAAAAGAAAAGCATAATCGCAGCAGTAATTTTATGGAGTATAGCTGGATTATGTGGATATGTAGCTACATATTATTCTAAGACGTACTACTCGTGTGTAGTTACATCGTATGATCTAGTTATAATTTGTTTTTCCACTTTTGTATACGCCTATGCTTTAATACGTTTTCAGAAACAAAAAACTAACATTCGTTCAAACCAACACGGCAAAAAAATTTTAAAAGGGTTAATAATATCAAGTTTTATAATAACAATCTTTTTTGGATTAGTTGCAATTCCCGACACTTTGTGGACACTTAATAATGTAGGAGTTTATCAAAATCCCAAAATAGACAAGTATTGTAAGATAAACTACGTTATAGCTTTGTGGACTGATGCTTTAGTATACATATTTGCTTCTCCTCAAGTTAGAATCACTCTTAAAAATAATATTAAGTTTTTACTCAGCAAAAAAAAAAATCAACTTCAAAGATTCAAAGAAGAAAATACACATTTTTAGAAAATATTTCATTAAAAACTTGTTTCAATGCTATAAAGTTCAAACCTATTAAAAGCTTTATCTTCGTTAATCATTGTTTATCAACGTTATCTTCGTTAATTCTGTAAAGTGCAATCGAAACTCCTGATTATCCACCATCCTACCAAGTCTAACTCTTAACTATTAGTTTTTTTTTTTTTCCTACACCTCCATCTGTCATAGACCCAAGAGTATGTTATAGGAATTTTATCATAAAATCCTTTTTACGGAGGTGACAACGGAATGTTTAGAATAACTAAATACTATTTTTACAAAGTTTATATATAGTTAACAGTAAATAAATAATAAATTGTTTTTAGACCAATACTACTGTGAGAAACCACTGACACACAAACACACACACGCATTGATTTTTGGATAACAAACACGTGGATACCATTCATATTAAAAAAATTACATAACCTTTTTTTTAAGAAGGTTATGTAATTTAAATTATTACACCAATTTTTGTAAACTTGTGTTAAAATATTAATATCAAAATTATTATGTAGTATTTATATTCCCAGATTTAAATAGATTTAAGAACTATACTATAAATGACACTTACTTACTTGTTTTCCCTTCTTTTCTTGTTTGTTAAATCAAAAAAATCAGCTTGGTATAACCTGAAAAATGTGGTAAGCAGTCAGTGACTCAAATGAAATGTTTAGACCATTATTAAAAATAAAAGGTCCTAATGCCGAATCTTGAAGAACACCATTTAAAAATTTTGTTGTGTTTTATAACACAGGTAAGAAGAACCCAAATAGAAAAATACGAATCAAAATAATCGTTTGTTCCACATGGATTCCATGTGGATTCCTTTCTATCCGATACGGAACCCACATGGAAAAACCGTTTTTTTCACAGGGTAGTTTTCTATTTTTCTCCATTAAAGTTCAGACAATTTTACACCCGGATGAATCATGTCAATCAGGTTTTATTTAATTCTAGAAGGTGCTGAATTGTTAAGAACTGCCCCGCTAAGTGACAATAAGCCTTTTCCTACGCGACGCTTGGCATCAACTTTATGGGTTCATGCAGTTTTTACAATTTGACGAAGCTTATTTCAATATCTGGCATTACCAGTAACAACTCTAAAACATTTTTCCAACACAAATTCTTTGAGAACTTTTTTAATTAATATTTTTATCACATAAATACAGTATGTCAAAAAGTCATCATGAAAATTTTCAATAAAAGCAATTTTTTTACATTCTTTTAAAAAGAAATTTAAATTTTTTACCCGGATTTTTTTTTATTGAGTTTCTGTTTGTAAAAACGCTAACATTTTTACAAAAAAAAAAAAATTAAAAAAAAATTATCCATCGAATCAAAAAAAGTGTATTAACCCCTTAATTTTATATAGATGTCCAAAGTAGTAAATGTTTAGCAAAATAGTCCAGGAAACATCATTAGAAAATATAAAAAAACCATCAAAAGTTTTCCAAGAAAAAGACAACTACACGCATTAATCGAGAAATTATTAGGAAAGTTGAACAAGATAGAGGACTGTCTGCACCTAAGGTAGCTAAAGATTTACAAATAAATCATAGTATATATTTATTTATTTATTCTTTTCATCACCCAAAATTACAGGTAAAAAATACAGAAGTCATAAAACTAATAGTTTTATGACCTCTGACGTTCCAGAACTCAAAGGACTGGTTTAAAATTTCTGCTATATTATCTTCTACTTCATCGTTACGGCGTTTGATAATGACTTTTTCCCCCTTAATCAAACACTGCATGAAGCTTAGTTTCAGGCGGTTGCAAATTTTCATTATTTCGTAAATAAAGCAGTTTTCCTAATTAACATTTGATATTTGAGTTAAAATCAAGGAAAGACAAGTCGGATTGCTCAGTTATCTGATAAACAGGTTCAACTTGTTTTTAACGAAGATGGTAGATACGTCATCGATTTTAAAGTAGGAATGCAGATAGTTTTTGCTGTATTTTGAAATACTAAAGAGAAATTTTAATGCTGATCTTCCAACAGCGTCTAATTTATTAAGAAAAGTATTGCTATAATCACAAATTTCTAACCCATAAGATAGATTTGTATTAGCCAGAGATTTGAACAAATGCACTATAGTTACTGGACATAGACTATAGACAAAATGCACTATAGACAAAAACGAATTCCAGATTTTTTAAGAGCTCTGGAGATTGATTGAAATTGAATAATTCTTTCGTTTACATTTGCTGATTGGATTGTAGCTATATTTTGTCCATGGCCTTGATTTTCCCATAAGAATCCGAGGTGTTTCAGTTTATTATTGAGTTTCAGGAAAAAACCCTTGATTTGCATTATGTTTTTTGTGACTAAACTTTTACCGGAGATAATGAACTCGGTTTTTTCTGTGTTTAATTTGATATAGAGGTTTTGACATTGCGTTTAAACTTTATTAATCAACTCTTGTAGCCCAGAAAGAGTTAAAATTATTTGATTTATGTCCAAGAAAGAAAGCTCGTTTGTTCCAAGAAAATTAGATAAATGCCTAGAAAAGTTGTTACGTGTTTGGTTATTTCGAACTTCCGTGTCATATATATTTTTAGGAAATGACTGAAAATCGCCGGCAATTATACATTCTCCTTCATCCTCGTATGTGTTAATGATGGAGGCAATTACACTAAGTTAAGACATATATTGTTCAAATAATTCAGAAGTATTTTTGCATGAAGTAAGATATCATGCTCATATCATGTAATCTGGGTAATATGAGCACTTTTGCTGCTTTTTTAAAACCACTGTGTTTTTAATAAAATATATCGGGTGCCCAAATATCTAAGTGGATCGTCATTAGTGAACCCCAAAAATTGATTATTTGCAAAAATTTCGGATCCAGCATAATTTTTCTTGAAAATATTTTCGCTTAAAGTGCTCATAATACTCTAATCTACTCTATATGAACTTCTTCTAATTTTTTCATTAATTTTTATATTACCGATATAATATGTTGTTGCAGAAGATCACGGGTAACAAGTTTTATTTCAATGCAGAGACTTATTATCAATCGATTTTAATAATCGGAGACTTTTTCGGAATTCAAAATTTCTATAATAACCGATAACTTTTAAAACTGATTTTTTTTTTTTTTTTTTTTTTTTTTTTTTTTTTTAATTTTACATTTGTTGGTCGTATTACAACTATATATTGCCAAAAAAAATAAAATAAAAATAATGATGATAATAATAAACTTTCACAAATATAAAATAAGGTATCTGAAAGAAGATCAAAGGATCTTGTCGTCAGAACCGTAAATAAGTTCAAACAAGCATTAACAGTATCAAATTTTTACAAATTTCATATATATATAATCCAAATATATATTTTATAATCCAAAGAGAGATCACGCGGATCTACTCACTAATATTTTATATAAACGTATACGTGAAGTAAAGAATATAAAATCAGCAAAATAAGTAAGAATAAACTTTTTACAAATATAAATAAGAAAAGGCAAAGTTATTAATTTATATTATTAATAATAACGTAATACGTCTTCTAATGAAAAAATAAGAGTTTTTAATTTACTTTTAAAAAAACGAAAAGTAATGGGTAGTTCGAAATCAAAATTGGGCAAAACAATTTTATTCCAAAGGTGTGGTGCCCGATAGACAATACAAAATTGATTAAAGTTCGTTTGACAGAAAGGTTCATTTAAAAAATCAGTATTTCTCAAATTGTATTTGTTGATGGGTTTCGGAGTAAAAATATCTTTGAAGACAGATTGAGACAAGTCATTTTTCCACATGTATACAAAGCATAAAACATTATATATATTTAGCTCGTATTTAAAATTCTCATTTCAATAAAATAATGTTTTGCGTGAGAAAAGCGATTTGCAAAGCAGATTAAACGGATAGCATGTTTCTGACGGCGATAAAGACGTTGCAACTTACTTTTTTCTGTTTTTACAAACTATGCATAAGTAAAATTTTTTGGTTTTGCAGCCAAAAAAAATTACTTATGCATAGAGTTTGGTTATGTGACTGAAATTAAATTTTCATGTAGATTAAAATTTAATTTCAGTAACAGTTATAACGTCATACTCTTTTTATTATTGTTATTATTATTTTTATTGCTATTATTATTATTATTATTATAACTATTATTATAGTTATAGCTGTAAAATATACATGGAATATATATATACACCGAGCAGGGAAAACACCCTACTATAAACAACCAGTTTTATAAATATTCGTTCCGAATTTTATCCTCAACCAGTGATCTAATCTAATTTTAAAAGGAAGTACAGTTAAGTAGAAAATTACATGCTCGGATAGTTCGTTATAGTATTTTGCTGTAGTTGGTTGTGTCTTGGAAGACAGTTTGGAACATATTCACGCCTTATTTTAAGACCACGTGACAATGTGATAAACGTGACCTCGTGACAATGAGTTAATAAGTTTTGGTTGATATATATTATTAATTATATCAAATTGATGTATTATTTTAAAAATTTGGAAAAGATCGCATCGTAGGCGCTGAAACTCAAGTGATAGTAGATTTAGTCTTTTTAGTCTTTCTTAGTATTGAAGATGTCTCAAGCTTAAAGCCCATTTTGTTACTTGACGTTGAACAGATTCAACCAAAGCTCAGTTTTTAAATACGTGGCCCAAACAGACACGGCATATTCAAGGTGGGGTCTTATAAACACTTTACATAATTTAAGAGCCATTTTTCATCAATGACGGTGAATGTCTTTTTTTGCATACCAAGAGTTTGTAAAGATTTGGAGACAACTGATTGAATATTTGTGCTCTACTTGAGGTTAGATGTAAAAATGACTCCTAAATCACGCTCTTTAGTAGGGCTTGTTAAGCCTTCATTTATAACTTAGTTATTTTGAAAAAAGCAACTATACATAGCACTAGGTTTTACCATAATGGATAACACAGCATTTTGAGATGTTTAATTTAAGTAATCAATCTTGATAAGTGGTCAAACACTAAAGTGTTTGACCACTCGTATACTAAGCGTAGACGATCATGTAGATCAGCGAAATTTGTCTGCGATGAAGTTTTAGAAAAAAGTTTAGTATCGTCGGGAAATACTTCAGAAGTTTCAGTAAGTTGGGCAAGATTGTTTGTAAAAAGAATAAAGAGGAGTGGGCCGAGAATAGAACCTTGAGGAACACCACTACGAACATTAACCCAGTCAGAGCTAGTATTGTTAATTGTAACGCGTTGCTTACTACCTACTAAAAAAACACTAATCCATTGAAGTAGTTTGCCGTTTATTCCGAATGATTTTAATTTTAACATGAGTCTAGTACGGAATCAAAAGGTTTAACAAAGACGAAGTAGATTAGATTTATAAACTGGTGCGATACTAGGGAAGACGAAATAATATCAAAAGTCTCTATTAGATTGGTTACGCAAGACTTATGATGGAGGAAGCCATGCTAATTTCTAGAGAGTAGATTGTTATCGTCGATGTGTTTCAAGATTTTATTCTTTACAACTTTTTCAAAGATTTTGCACGCAACCGAGGTTATTGACACAGGTCAATAGTTTTCAGGAAGTAGTTTGTCTCTCTTTTTTTTTATAGATTAAACTAATATTTGCTAATCTCCAGAGAGTTGGTACTGTTCCAGAATTAAAAGATTCTTAGAAGATTTTTGTAAGCGGAATTGCGAAGCTTTTGACACATATCTTAAGTATTAAAAGGTGCAAGCCGTCAGGTCCAAAAGATTTTTAAGGGTTAAGATCGGTAAGTTCATTAATAATTTCTACATCAGAAAAATCCAAATTTTAATTATAATTGCATTTAGGTTTAACTTCACTTTTATTTAACAATGGAAAATTTTCGGAGTTTTTAAGAGTAAACATAGATCTGAATTGAGAGTTTAGAAGTTCAAGTATATTGGGAAGAATTTCAGTAATTTTCCCTGAAGCATTTTTGGAGATCGAATTTTATCTTTAATTTTTAGTTGGTTGTTAATGTATTTATGGGCGAGTTTTGGGTTGTTTTAAGATTTTGATATTATTCTTTTTTCTTTTCAAGTAATATTTTTGCTTTAAATATTTCAGCTTTAACTGAACGATTAAGACAATAGTAATTTGTTTTAAGATCTTTATTCTTCCATTTAGTTGAGCAGTGGATATGCCAAGCCGATTTTTTTGCTCTGATATTTTGCTCCGATTTTTTTGCTTTGATATTTTGCTTGTATTTAATATGGTAAGAAACCCAAGGATCATACTTTTTTTTTGTTTTTTAATCTTAGGGATAAAAAATTTGCAAGCAGTACGATAATAAGAAATTAATGTATTGAACATTTGATCCGCATTTTTTGTGAAAATAAAATATCCCAATTGATTGATGCAATAAAGTTTGATATTGAATTTTAATCACCTTTTTTGTAACTAAACAATTGAGATTCGATTTCGGTTAGTGGTTCTGAAACTAAGATTCTCCAAGTAATACTAAAGTAACCTTAATGTTATTACCTTGTTTAGCATTAGGAGACAAATTTAAAATAGAATTATTGTTGTAGGTAAATAAAAAGTCCAACATATTTTTGGGGAACCTTAGGTTGTCTGGAAAGTAGGGAATGCGATGTGTTGTGTAAAGAGGCTTTTGGTAAATGTTCCGAAATTCATACTCGTTAGAATTGTTTGGATTGAAAAATTTAATACCATTATTAGACCACTTTACATTCGGTAAATTAAAAACACCAACGATCAAACAGTCATTCTAGGGCTTCCTAATTAAGCTATGAACTAATTTGAAAGATTCAGCAACATAGTTTATTAGATTATCATCATCTGGTCTATATATATACCCAATAAGTATGCATTTGTTATTAACTTTTACAAATACCCAAACCTGTTCAAGTGGGTTTGTATAAAACTGATTAACTTCGTGAGAGTTAAATAAGTCAGTAATATAGATAGTCTCACTGCCACCTCGACACCCGTCACAGCAATCTTTACGATATAATTATACTCATTTTGGACTTATAGAAACAAGAAAACGCGTAAGATTTTCTCAAACTTAATTGTTTTGTTTTTTTTACTAAATTTAAATATTTTTTTTAAAGATGTATTTAAAAAATATTACTTTTAGTAATATCAAAAAATTTTACACGCAGATAGATTGCTTATAAGTTTGAACAAATTGTCTGACAGATAAAGTAGAGTTACTTAAAGTATAAAAAATTACCGCAACTATTTTGTCAATTGCAAATTTGTTAATTTTATTAGGCGGGTTAGTAAATAATTATAAACAAATTTGGTAATTATAAGCAATTTATGGTGGGTTAAGTAAATAATTATAAGCAATTTTTATATAAAACATTTAGAAACAAATGTTAATAACAAATAACTCAACTCAATAAAATCATATTAAAATTATTTTGTAAACGATTATTTTTCAATCTTGTGATTTTATGACTAAAGATAGATATTCTTAAAAAATGTGGAAAAAAATTTCCAAATAATTTCTTAGTGCATACAATGTAAAAAAATATAGTTATCGCAACAACGTAAAAATTTTCCTCCCTTTTTCTTTCATGAATTCAATAATCTAATAGTTTAAATTGTTATCAATGATTTTGTAATTTATCTGTATTATATTACCGATTAAATATAATATATTGTTTTAAAATATATTTTATACATTTATAATTATATAACTTATAAAAATAAAATTACATGTTAAATATAACATGTTTAAAAGTAGCTTGTTTCCACGTTTAAAAAACGATTTGAAAAAAAAAAAAAAATCGCGTAGAAACGATTTTAAACGTTTATTAATTTAAATTTTCATACTATTATCAAATTTAATATCTAATTTTAAGATTTACTATGTACAATTTATTTCGATTTTGAAGATTTGATTTACCATAATCAATCTTGATTTAACGTAAATCAACAATGGTAATTCCGTAAGAATCCTGAATGTTTATTCCAGAAGACTCCTTCATTGATAAAAAAAAATTAAATAACAATAAATAAATTTGAAATTTTTTAAAAAAAGAATAATAATAATAAAAAAAAAATACCTCAAAAAGTGGAGGATCTTTGTTGTGTGGATGGAATCCGTTTTGAGTACAATTAGTTATGAGTTTTAATCCGTGCATGGTTAAGCGATAAACTCCGAAACTAAACAAATTGTTTTTTAGAAATAAGATTTTCAATGAAAAAACTTGTTTATTTAAAATCCAAATTTGACACACACCAATATAGAGTTGTCTTAAAAAGTTCAATCACTTAATTTTCAATTTTTAACTTTTTGAAAGAAACAAAATTACTCAATTTTCAAGCATAATGGAATATTTATATATTCTGGAATTTTTTCCAATGTCCTAGCTAAAATGATTAGAACTATATACCTTAGCTGAAAAAGAAATCAGCTGATATGTGATAGTGTATGACGTGGCGGAATTTGCGCCTCACCACCATTATAATAATTTAAAACTTTGTAATATTTTTTAGTTTCAAATGGGAAACTGCGCTTAAATCATTAAGATGATGCGAGTGTAACTGTCTATTTATTGCTGCAGTATACGATAAGCAGTTAAACGTTTATTATTTTAAAAGATAAGTATAATATTAGCTAAAAAGTCTATAGAACAACGAATTCACTCAATTATTTAATAATTTTTTAAAAACTATTTTTTATCCACACCATTTAGCTAAAACTTTTTTAGCGAATTATAATGCTTTAAAAGAAGCCCAAAATGTGCGATGGTGGATGTTTAGACATTTTATACAGCATAAAATCACCCTATTAAATTCTGACAAAAATAAAAGTTACTTGTTATATTTTGGCGAACAAACCACAGCAATTGCCTCAGGTAGTAGTTGTTGGTAGGAGCATTGTGTATGTAAATCAACACTGGATAAAAAACACGTTTGAGAAGGATGCGTCTAAAAAATAGCGACAAAAAAATAGTGAAAAAATTTTTTTTAGAAGAAATAAAAAATATTTAAAAGATATATGCTTTTGCTATAAAAATAAAAATTCAAAAAAAAACTATTTATAACAAGTTTTTTTATAACAACTTGTTTAAAACAAGTTTTTTTTTCAAAATTTCACTACTGTGCAAATTTTATTTGTCTGTTGATGTGTTTTTTATTTTTCTGTAGATTTTGCAAAATTTGGAACAGTTGCATGATTTCGATGTTTCACGATTTTTTTCTATCTGTTAAGGTAAATTATGAACTAAAGACAATAGGACATAATAATAAAGTAATGATATAACATTATGACAATTAAAGATAAAGAAAGCAACGATAAAGACAATAATGATAAGGCAATAAAAAATGAAAAATCATTCTACTGACACTTAATCATGCAAAATATTACCAATAATACCGGATGTTTAAAAAGATATTTAATTTCGACTATAACAGAAAAATTAATAGGTTCTAGGTTCTTTCGCAATATATAAAAATTATTTGCATAAATACGTTTTTTATTTTTGCATAAAAATGTTAAACTTAAAAAAATAAAAAAGTTTTATTTATTTATATAAGTTTAAAAAACGTTGATTAACTGACAATAAACTGAATACCAAAACACAATAATGTTATGGTAATGTGATAATACGTTAGCTGAATATATGCACTAAAATTAAAATCCTGAGAATACCTTAAACAAGTATGTCGTCAGACTAATGCACGTCGTCAGACTAATGCACGTCGTCAGACTAATGCACGTCGTCAGTATGTCGTCAGCCTAATGCACAAAATTCAGTATTCAATAATATTAAGACAAGCCAAACATTTACCAAATTTAAATGCTTATTTAAAAAATATACCTTATGTAGAGGGAATTGGGGTACAGGGGATCGAGAGGCACAGTGAATAAGAAGCATTTTCTCAAAGATTTGAATTTTGTTCATCTTGATAATATAATAACTTTATTTGCTCATATATCAGCAATCTTTATCTATAGTTATTACCACATAATTTTTGACTATCGGTTTTTTGTAGGTAATTTTTGTTTTTAGCTAACTAAAGTAAATTTTCTTACCTTCCTTATTATTTTCTATTTTCCTATATTTCCTTATTATCATTTTAATACCTTCCTATTTTGGAGATCATGGTTGAAACAACTTTAAAAGTTGAAGTTTTCATTCAGATTATTGATATTTATGCTTTCATTTTAGTAGTTTAGCTTTTCCTTTAACAACACTCATGTCCCAAGAAATTAGACTTAAACTTAATTTATAGTGGGGCACAGAGAATTGGGGTACAGTAAATCAGTTAATTCACTATGCCCTGTTAATGATCTTAAGGGATCCCTAAGTGCTATAAAGATATGATCTCATATGATAGAGCATTAAAAAAAAAAATGTTTGATGTATATTATTTTTTCTAAAACGTAATAATGAACACACACTAACAAATTTAATTTTCAAAAAAACGCTTTTCTTCGATTAAAAAAAATGCGCTTTGTCCAAAGTTTATTGACTCTATTGCCTCAAAAAACTAACGTTAGTACGTCAAATTAAACAAAGTAGACAAAATTTCATTTTAATTGGTAATTAAATTTAAAAGTAAAGTCGTTTTTTTTCAACTAACACATAATTACTTACAAGAATAAGTTTTGTAGCATTTTGTGAATATATATTTGTATATTAAATTTTTTTTTATAACATTAATTTATATATTTGTGTTATAAGGGCAATTCCACAGCTAAAAATGAATAGAAGTCAAATTTTAAACTCTTTTTAGTCAATTAAAAATAAATGAATATTGACTTAGACATATGAAGTTTATTTAAAATATTTCCTTAGTAAAAAAATAAATTTATTTCAGTAATTTTTATGGTTTCAAAAGTGACGGTTACTCTCATTTTTGCTTGATAAAAAAAAATAATGATTGTAAAATGTTTTAGTTAAATTAACATTTATGTTAAATTGCTATATTTTTTTGGTTCAAATTGATAAGGTTGAATAGACATTTTATTAGAAATTAAACTAAAACAGGGCTCGAATTAATGCAAAAAAATCTAATCGCGAAAAAAAATTTTTTTTTTTGCTCTCTCCCCTTCCCTCTTATAGCTTATCATCTCTCTCTTATAGCCTCTTATCTCTCTTATAGCCATCTTCCCTCTTATAGCCTCTTATCTCTCTCTTATAGCTCTCTCCCCCCCTCCCCTCACTCTTATAGCTCGCGCCGATGTGCGGTAATGGGGGGAAAAAATTATTGTCAATAAATCAAAAAACATCGTCAAAAATTTAATAAAAAATTAGATACCACGTTTTTTATAATTTATTGTTTCTTGAATAAAGGACTAATAAAAGTTTAAATATAATTAAGTTTTTCATTTAAATGGTTGATGTTTTTATTCAATTTTTCTATTTCAAGTTTTCCAATAAAAGATAAAACAAAAAAATTTGGTTTAATAAATCGAATTATAGTTCATGTTTAAAATAAGGCTTAAAAACGTTAAAGTAAAAAAATTGCTGGTTTTTATTAGCATTTTTATACTGTTTGAATAAAAAAGAATTAACTAATAATATATTAATTAATAATTATATATTAATTCATTTTTATTAGTTTTTTTTTTTCAAACAGTATAAAAATGCAAATAAAAGTCAGTAATTTTTTTGCTCTAACGTTTTTAAGCATTATTTTAAACATGAAGTTTTGATAAACAAAGATAAAAACCAACTTTTCAACTTTTCGCTTTAACGACCTTGTAAAAATTTTCCACGCAGAGATTTAATGTAATTTAAATTCAAAAATGTTTTACGTTGAAAGAAAATCTCCGCGCGAAAGAGCAAATTATCTATTCAGAATAAAAAATTTTGTGTGACGTTCTTTATGATAAAAACATTACTTCGAAGAATAGACATTTCTCTAATTCGATTGCGCAACCATTTTCTCATCATGAAAAAGAGGCCAGTAAGGACAAAAATGTAAACAAATAGCGAAAAACTACTTGAGTAATATTTTTAAATAAGTTAATTATCTAATAAATATTGTATGGATTTAATAGCGACTGCCTTAAAAATAAAATAATTTAGTATCTAATATTGCAATATATAAACAGAAATAGTAAAATAGAAAAAATTTAAATTTGAAAAAATGTGTATCTTTAAAAGAAGATATGTACAATCTATTTACAAAATATGTAAAACCTATTGCGTTTCTCCCTGTGTTCACAAGACATAAGTTCACAATTAATAGTTATAAGGACAAACGTTAAATGAAAAAAAATATTTAAAAAACTTAAATAATATATAATAAAAATTTTTTGAAACTGGATTGTTAGCTCAACTATGCAACCACTAGCAACTCCGGATGAACTTGTTAACAAGTCCATCTGGACTTGCACCAAGCCAGTGGTCTTTTAGTCATTTTAAAATCGATTTAAAGGTATATTAAATTAAAATAATTGTTCTTACACTAAAATAAATGAATTTTCCTTACACTAAGAGAAATGCAAACCTTAAAAGAAAATGATTTAGTCAAACAATAGTTTATACTGGTTCATTACCTACAGAAGAATTATTTCTTTAAAAACATCACTCATTTGGCTATTATCCACAAGTCAAAAATGGACTTATCTGGACTAATGTTTGTTAATATATGCTTATAACAAAATTATTATTGCAAACACTGACTTTGATTAATGCTAGTTTTTAGATATTACTGATAAACTTTTTTTAATAAAAAATATATTTTATCGTGCTTAATAATAATTATTATATTTCTTATATTTTTACTGTTTTATAAGAACTGTTTCATAAAGTTTACATAAGTTTTCATAAGCAGTTTACAGTCCAAATTTGATTAGTTGATCCATATAAAACATTTTTTTTCATTTCATAAAACATTTCCTTTCGTTCTTGCTTTTTTTAATTATTTGTTGTATGGCACATTCCAAATTTTTATGCTGCTATTGGTGCTATTGTTGTTGACTTTCTATAACCTCTTCGTTCATTTAAAAAGGCAAGAATGTTTAGTGTTACATCTAAAGGTTTACGCAGATCATTAAATAAAAAACCCGATCAGCCGTTACAGAATCATCACTCTCCCATAGCTTTTTTTGCAAAGGCAATTGCTTAACTATGAAAAACAAATATCAGAGCCAAAAAAATTAGTTTACTAACAAATGATAATCCACCAGAAAGAGCGATTCCAACTAATACTTTATAGGTAATGCAGTAAACTGTACGTTGGAAGGTCTTTGACAAAACAATTTGATACAATTAATAACTTTCACTTGAGGATATGTCTCTTTAAAACATTTAGGTACATTATGTTTAAGTGATTTAAATTTGGCCAAATTTGTTTTGCACAAAGTTTAAGGTGTATAAAACTTGGCTGTGTATATAAGGTATTTCTAAACAGATTGGTGCTTTAAATCACCAGATAAGTAAGCAAGTGAAACTTCTTCAAGTAAAACTTCAAGTCTAAGCTATGTTAAAAACATAAATAGTTGGTCAATCAGTTTCATTTTTGACCGCGTATGCATTCTGGTGTGAAATATAAAGGAGATGAAAACAATTCTTTAGGTAGCCTTTTCTCAGAAAATTATTTTCCATGTTTTCACATTCTTTTTCAAGATTTAAACATTCAAATAAAACTTTTCATTTTTTCATGCCAGTAAATGAGTTGAAATATTTAAAATATTTAACTTTCAACATTTTCGTGGTTTAAAATATTACTTTTGAATTGTTTTTTTTCTCATGTTTTTGAACTTTTATATTCTTCAAGCAAGCTTCTATAACTTTCATGAAATACTTCCAACTTTTTTCAATGAATGTTTTTTTGGATAACAAAAGTTTACATTTTTTATAATCAATTTTTTCCGTAGAATCGATTACTGTATGAGTTTTTTTAATAAATATTAGCTGTAAAATCTAGATATTTTGACTTTTTTCATGGAGATTTTCTAGGTAATTTCTTTT